GTCCTTTATCTGTGCTATAATACGTTGCTTCGGAAGTGAGATTACCATTCCATCTTTCGCGAGTTAGGCGAACTCTTGGAGTCCGTACTACGTCATTCCTCTCCAGTTTAACAGCCTTCCAGAGGCTTTTTACCTGTCCTTTTTAATTTTCTACCATATTCTACCTTCATTAGAGAGTAAAGTGATTCCTACTGTAACTAAACTCCGCAATCGTTACTAGAGTAAATATGCTATTTGGGATTATGAATTAATTTTGTCTATGAAGACGTTTTTATTTCACTTTGCGAGCAACGACGCGACGCTGCAGCATTGTATACATTAAAACTTAGTATTATATACTCTTTGGTATAAATTATTTTTGACAATGAAACCTATACGTACCTCTTAAATTGGACGAGGCTTATATTCAGTAGTAAATTGTTACACGATGATGAAGTCAATATTAAAAAAAAATATTATTCGAGTTTCACAGAAACGACGTAGATATAATTCCAAATTACGCGTGGACATCCCTAGCGTTCTTAATCAAAGAGATTTATTGCCGAACGCTTACTATAAAATGGACATAAAATATCGCGTCCAATTTGTACAAATTATACAAATAAAAAATAACTTGCCACGATCCGATTTAAGGTAAGAGAGATATAATAAAATTTCTGCGTTTTGCTACCTATTTTTAACTTATTATTTTAGAGTTGCCAGTTCTAGATCTAACAAAGAAAACTGGCACAATACGTGATAACTTATGCTTCTTTACAAATCAATGAAATTTCAATATTTCCCTGGTACTGCAGATGTTCACGGGCGACGGTGATAACTTACCATTAAGTAACCCGTATGGTCGTTTTCATCCTCTTTTAAAACCACATTCCGCTATCCTATCATCCAGTAACCGAGGCGACGGTTGCCACATGCGTTACACTAGTGAACAGGTGTTGCTTCTGGGGGCTTGTTCAAACAAATACAGAAGAGAAGTGAAGACGTCAATTGAAGTTCTCTTTATGAGCTGTCTAACGATACTTTTTTTATAGAAATTGTATGAGAAGAGCAGAAAATGACGTCATAATTTCTAGTAATCAAAGCAACAACATGTACTTATTAAGTGGCGAAGCTTGCGAAGTCACTTATTGATTTCACGATGTCTGTCCGTCTGTCCCACGATTATCTCGAGAACGGTTTTGAATTTTCAAATTCTGTTTTCAGCAATCGATTACTGATCACCCAGGCATCTGAACCTCCTATTTTGAAACTGATTGCTCAACGGCAACCGTTAGAAACCGCTACAAAGCTGATTGCTTCGCCACTTTGCTATGATGTTAGCTTGCTAGGTTTATTTGTATTCTTTTATCTTTTTTATATGTGGTAAAGTCTTGCTGCAGCTATATTATGGTTGTAGCACACATGGATGGACAGGGGGAGGGCAATGCTACACAGAATACCAGCGTGAAGGTAAAGAACCAAATACCGTTTTTACTGGAAACAAGGCTTTCCATCTTAGTACTCAGGAGTGATAACCAGGCCGTCTCCTCTTAGATTTGCCTTAGTAGGTTCCCCCTTAGCTGCTCGTCGCCGCCTGCGCCCCCTTTTCCCAAAAGAGGGTCGCTTCCGATTCGGTAGAAAGGCCTCATAAGCCAATGCCAGTCTCACAGGTGGTGTTTAGTGGGTAGGCACTTAGGGTGGTAGGTTAGTTCAGTGAATCCCACATAACCACGGCAGCCGGCTGTCGTGGTATGCTTAGAGCATTTACCACCTCCCTCTCGTTTACGGGGGTAGCCCTTTCAATTGATTCTGGGCGCAAAAGAAAAGTATCTGCATTTTGATTCTTAATCGAGGGTAAAGATGTCTTTGGTCAACACCATTCATTTGCTATTACTGTAGCTAGTTTGACACCCATACTCTATAAAAAAAAAGTATATTTTAAACGAATAAGAATTCAATTGAACTAAAAACTTGGATCACTTAGTATATATGCTCTAAGTGTATACTGGAAAACCAACCAAATTATGAGACTAAAAGTGGCAAAATCAATTTTTGATCTAATAAAAAAATCTGTGTAGTTGCGGACTGCGGTGTAAAAATATTCATTACCCCATATCATCAGTGGATGTCGTATGAAGCGACAGAGTTAAGCTGAACCAGGAGTTGGGTAGCAGCATTTTTCTGATAACAGCTGAATAATAATAAAAAAACTGCAGTTGCCAACACGTTTGCCAAGCGTGGCAATTATTGCAACTACTCATTATGTGGTATCAATCCATGAGGTTGGCTTATGTTCAGTTGTGGACGTTATGGTAATGATAATGGGATGTAATTTATCATGGTGTCTACCACCTAACATTTATATATTAGGTATATAGAATACTGTAAATTTCAGTACGCATGCAACCCGAGTTCGATCACTGCCAGCACAAACATTGACCACTTGTTCAGCTGTTAAGAAAACACTGCATGTATGAAGCAAGTACAGTAGAGTAAATCCTTGTCAGCTTCGAGCACAGGCGCAGAATAGCCAGCCTCACGTTGTTCTACAGGATGCATTTCTGAGAATTTAGGCAGGAATTAAATGCTTTAAATCCCTTCTCCTTTTGTATGGAATCTGTCAACTAGATGTCGTTGTTTCCAAAGCTTGTGTTGATTATATCGCATTGTAAAGATTTATTTCAAATATATATATATACATAAGGTTTCTTTACCAAAATATGCGATGCTTTATGACTCCTAGCTTCTAGCTGCGTTTCATTTCATGAACCCTATCTCCTAGCGACTATTTTTGGGATCTATACACTATACACCCTTCCACCATCGGATTAACAAGTGATCGGCCTTCAACTCTTTCTTGTTGATGTTCCACGCATTCGAACCAAACGGTTCGCTTCGTCTTTGGTAATGCGTACAGCAAAAGAGTGGAATCATTTACCAGCGTCAATGTTGCCGACCGATTAAAATCTGCGTGTCTTCAAGATATTGCGATTTATCATTTGGGCTTCATTACCACTTATCAGGTGGTATTGTAGTGGGGATGTTAATGCTATGTTAGGCTATTGGGCGTAGTGGTTTAGCATTTGGTTACGATGTAGCCGGCCGCGTGTTCGAATCCCACACAACAAATATTTAGTGTGATCAATTAATTATTATTCTAGCGGTGCGATAGTGTAACTCTTGGGGAAAATCAATCCGCAAGTGCGTGTGTTATGTTTTATTTTTCATTGTGATAATAATTTGCATTGTAATTAGATATTGTGGCGGTGATAGAATATCCACTACCTCATATCATACCGTGGGTGTCGTAAGAGGAGACAGAGGGAAACAAATCAGAAGATGGGCGGCGGTGTCTCCGTAATAGCGACTTTTTTTATAGGATAGAGCGACAAGCGAGCACATAGTCCACCTGATGGTAAGTGGTTGCTGTGACCCATAGACATTACATCTATCTTCGTTTGAGAATCAAAATGCAGATGCGTTGTCACCCGTGAGGACTAAGATGGAATGCCTCCTTTCCAGTAAAAAGGGTCTCCGGTTCTCTACACTCACCATACGAAACAGCAGTATTCATCTGCTATTTTACGCTAGTATTCTGTGAGAATAGCAACTAAAAAAACTGTGATTGCCAACTTGCTTGCCAAGCGTGGCAACTATAGTAAATATCCCCCATATGGGGCAATCTATGGGGGAGGCATGTTCGGCATTAGATTTTTAAGCTATAATAATGATTTCTTATATATACACGAGTAGACATAAAATAAAACTTAATTTACAAATTTTATTGCGTTTAATTTGACTTACATGGGCGTTGTAAAGCACCCGAAACGTCGGGATTTAAAAATAAGTCGAATTAAATGCAGTAAAATCCATAAAATTAGTTTTATTGAATTCTGTAATGAATTGACGAAAAAAAAGACATTATAAAGATGTTAAAGTAAATAAATATAAGACTTATATTTATTTACTTTAATTAATTTATACTTTATCGTACAACACCTTAATAAAAAAGATACAAAGGGCGGATTTAATGTTTTCGACTTAATTTATAAATCTTAAAAAATCCTTTTTATTAATTTTTCTAAGCTATCTGGATAGATGATACTATCTGGATTATTTTAATGGATAAAATAATCCAGATAGTATCATCTATAATCCAATAAGTATCATAATATTGCGTCTATGATAATGGTATTAAACAAACTTTACTCTTCACAGAGTTAAAGTGCACGGTATTACAAGCTATTGTATCAATTGATGTAGGTCAGATGTTTCTGTATAAAGAACCAAAATAAAGTACGGAAGAGCGCGAAGAATGCCGCCGTATAGACGGTTTCTTGATCGATGTTTATCCTGGTGCGATTTATGCACGCGTTAAGCCTCTACGATACACAAGAGTCTCACTCTCTAATACTCAAGATACTTCTAGTGTTAGTCTCAAAACAGCAAACAAGACAGACGGAGTACATTTCAAGTGACGTGGAAACCAAACCAAAATCATGCCCAATTTTTTTTTTTATAGTCTAAAAGTGACAAACGAGCACACAGTCTACTGGTTGGTAAGTGAATACTGTGCTCATGCACACACATGCATTCAAATGCAGATCACCTAGTGTCTAGTTAAAAGGTTGTCGGGTTCTTTACACTCAATAAAGGATATACGACGTCATAAAGCTGATATTTCACGCGGGTATTCTGTGAGAGCTGAGTCCTACCCCGATCGAACCGACTTATTATAAATAATTATTACGCATGTTATTTATTACTTATTGTATTGCACTCATACGATCTAAAACCATTTGGTACACCATCGACATGGTTTTAGCACTGGACTTTTACGAGATGTTAAAGAAAGTCAGAATTTGTGTGCGTATGTGCGTATGTACGCACATACGCACACATCTTGATTCTTGCGTGTTAGGAAGTTGAGCACGGTTTGTAAATTGGGAGTGTTTGAAAATGAAGAAAAAAAAACACACACATTTCCTCGAACTGTTTATTGTCTGTATGTTACTTATCTGTTACTTTTTGATGGATTGCAGGAAATCGCTGGAATAGAAAACGGATTTAATTACTATAATTAATCAACTTAAGTAACGTTTTTTAAGTCTACATCTGGATGTAGACCTTTTCACGAACGTGCTTTTTTATAGGATAATGGTGACAGACACAGTCTACCTGATGGTAAGTGGTTTCTGTGGCCCATAGTCTGCTAGTGTGCCTCATATCCCCCCCCTCCCCCGCTCCTATTTTCAACGCTTGGTTGACAACCGCAGTTTTTTTAGTTGTTAGGAAGACGCTAATCAAAGGTTCACTGCTGAACATAGGCCTCTCGTGTAGATTGCTAGCTATAGTTGAGAATGAGCGGGAATACGCGAAATTTTTCTTTAAATTAGGGATGGGCAAATGAAAAAATAATGTCGATATAAGTATTGTATCGATATTTTTAAATAGTATCGATATATACCGCGTGATAAATATCGATTTATCGTCATGTTTTGCATGAATTACAAGGAAAATTTTATTACTGGCGGTTGGACTAAATAAAACGTCAACAGCTTATGAATGCTTTTGTAGCTGCTTTTGCTGCTTAATGTTTTGTCGATTAATACAACATTTTAAAATATATCGAAATTGATACGAATCCGATACTCTTAAATAAATATCGATAAATCGATATATCGTGACGAAAAATGTCGACGATATAAATATATCGATACTTATATTTGAAAAAATATCGATATTTTTTTACTCAAGCCTACTTCAAATGTTAACCACAGCTGCACGCGGCACGTGTTCCCCACTATCCAACGAGGCAATGGCGATGTGTTTCATCACCATAATTGGTTTTTTTTGTTGTGTTGAAACAACGGTTCATTACACGCAATCACCACAGCCCAACACAAGGCATCGCTGAACATAGGCTTCCACCATAGATTTGTTAAAGTACGGTTCTTAGCCACCTGTGTCATTCACCAGGTCGTTGCTTCATCCAGTGGGGGATCACTTAACACTACGCCACTTCAGCCCAAAAGCTATGTCAGTTACTCTTGTTCTTCTGCTAATATCCTCGTTTCAGATTTAAATGATTGCTACTAATGTTAGAAAGTAACAGCCTATATATGTCCCACTGCTGGGCACAGGCCTTCTCTTATTTCTGAGAGAGAGAGAGAGAGAGAGAGAGAGAGAGAGAGAGTTTTTAGGGCAAGGAAAATGTCCGCCGCGCTGCCCCAATGTGTGTTGGCGGACGTGACATGTCGTCGAAATGTTTTTCTCGGACATGCAGGTTTCCTCACGATGTTTTCCTTCGAGCACGTGGTAAATCAGCACTTAAAATTGCAATTAACAATTTCATTGGTGCCCGGTTCATTCGAACCCGGGTTGCTCGAGTACTGTAAAATTTACAGCAAGCGCTTAACCCCTGAGCTATCACGGCTTGCTACTAGCTTGTATTTTTTTTAATTTAAATAGCGGGTTTTAATTTGACACAACTCATTCCAGGAATATGGATACTTGATTAATAGAAATAAAAACGTGTTGCTCTTGACATACAATAATTATTACGTATATATTTTTTGCAAAACCCAATAAATATAACAAAAAAAAAACATTTAGTTCATCGATCAAAACTTTACAATGTTGCCTCATTTTAATGTTTTCTCATAAAAACTACCTATCAAAAGTTTTGAACTGTCAAAAATGCGCCAATTTCCGGTCGGTAAACATTTTCTGGCCGTATTTAATCTGTTTATAGAACGTTCAAGGAAAAAATATTAAATTATTCATAGAGATCCTTTTTCTGGCTTTTGTAGCCTATATGTTCTTTATTCAGTAAAAGATTGACTGTCTTGTTGGTGTAGCGATTGTAAATACAGTTACTGATCATGATAGTCCAGAGTTCAGAGTGATAAGACCGCCTATTGTACATTTTCTAATTTAGATTTAATTGTATTTGTTTTTGTTTTGTTTTTTGGTGTACAATAAAGAGTAAATAAATAAATAAATAAAATAGTTATACTGAAGCCCGGAACAGTTATTGGGTTTTCCGTCAAGAAATCTTGACGGTGCTTACCCCCTGCCGCCGAAAGCACATTGCGTTGGCCCTGCCTATGATCTCTCTCTATGAGAGAATAGAGAGTGCACACGCTCGTGCACTATAATCCTGTCCTGCGCCGATGGCTAGTCTCCGTTGAGACCAACACCGAGACCGAAATACGGTCTGGAGGGCATTAATATCATTAGTATAAAAATTGTTAAATATTAAGCTAATCCGTGGCGTACAGTGGGACATGCATAATAAACTTATCCCTAAATTTTACTGAGTGACATCATCTGGACTTACCATACGACTTGGGGCAAGTCGGGCGCTTGGCACAGGTTGTTATGGCCAAGACCTCGCCCGCGCTCGAAGCCGTGCAGCAAGATGGGTGCCTCTGAACCCACCGCTCGTCTGGACTTCAACGCACTGTCGAACAACTGAAAGGTATTGAAGAGTTAGAAATATGGTTGTTCATTTTTTTTAAACTATTCTAGCCAGCGCTTGACTACTATCGCAACTGATGGTAAGTGGTGATGCAGCCGAAGATGGTGACGCACACTGACTTAACAAAAGCCTATTTACTCTTGCCTTGAGACAGATCCTGGCAACTTATCCCATTCCTTTGCTGTATGAATGTTCAAAAATAATGACCCCCCCTCCCCTGTGACCATTGGTGCTGTAAAGTACTCGAAACGTCAGGAATAAAAAAATTGAGGCAGTCATAATGACTGCCGAGAAAAGTGGAAACTCACTGATATATGCGTATACATGTACACAGGCCGCTATACTAGTAGACATGCTATACTAGGTACTAGACATGCTATACTAGTAGATATGCTATACTTGTAGACATGCTATTCTAGTAGACATACTATATTAGTAGACATGTTATACTAGTACACATTCTATACTAGTAGATATGATATACTAGTAGACATACTATACTAGTAGACATACTATATTAGTAGACATGTTATACTAGTAGACATGCTATACTAGTAGACATACTATATTAGTAGACATGTTATACTAGTAGACATGCTATATTAGTAGATATGCTATACTAGAAGACATACTATATTAGTAGACATGTTATACTAGTAGACATGCTATACTAGTAGACATACTATATTAGTAGACATGTTACACTAGTAGACATGCTATACTAGTAGACATACTATATTAGTAGACATGCTATACTAGTAGACATGCTATACTAGTAGATATGCTATACTAGAAGACATACTATACTAGTAGACATACTATATTAGTAGACGTGTTATACTAGTAGACTTACTATATTAGTAGACATGTTATACTAGTAGACATGCTATACTAGTAGATATGCTATACTAGCAGACATACTATACTAGTAGACATACTATATTAGTAGACATGTTATACTAGTAGACATGCTATACTAGTAGACATACTATATTAGTAGACATGTTATACTAGTAGACATGTTATACTAGTAGACATGCTATACTAGTAGATATGCTATACTAGAAGACATACTATACTAGTAGACATACTATATTAGTAGACATGCTATACTAGTAGACATTCTATATTAGTAGACATGTTATACTAGTAGACATGCTATACTAGTAGACATACTATATTAGTAGACATGCTATACTAGTAGACATGCTATACTAGTAGATATGCTATACTAGAAGACTTACTATACTAGTAGACATACTATATTAGTAGACGTGTTATACTAGTAGACTTACTATATTAGTAGACATGCTATACTAGTAGATATGCTATACTAGTAGACATACTATACTAGTAGACATACTATATTAGTAGACATTCTATACTTGTAGACATGCTATACTAGTAGACATACTATATTAGTAGACATGTTATACTAGTAGACATGCTATACTAGTAGATATGCTATACTAGTAGACATACTATACTAGTAGACATACTATATTTGTAGACATGTTATACTAGTAGACATGCTATACTAGTAGATATGCTATACTAGTAGACATACTATACTAGTAGACATACTATATTAGTAGACATGTTATACTAGTAGACATACTATACTAGTAGACATACTATATTAGTAGACATGTTATACTAGTAGACATGCTATACTAGTAGATATGATATACTAGAAGACATGCTATAATGAGCAGATCATTTATATGCAGCAGGAAGAGAGTTGCGGAGAGAAAGGACCCCTGAAGAACACCAGCGTTAGTCGCCACAGTACCGGATGAGCAGCCATCGACGACGACCCGGAGAGACCGTTCACTCAAAAAGTCCTTCACCCAGGCAATCAGGCCAGGGAATAAGCCATACGTTGAAAGCTTGCCCAATAGACTAGCATGCCAAACCCTGTCAAAGGCCTTCGAAACATCGAGGGAAACAGCAAGTGCAACCACTGTTCTGGAAGGCTTCGCCCCATGTAGTGAATGGCATAAGCTAGAAGGTCCCTAGTTGATCGATTTCGGCGAAACCCGTACTGGCGATCACTGAGGAGATCATTTTGCTCTAAGTATGCCACGAGGTGGGCATTCAATATACGTTCCATAATCTTGCAGAGTATGTAGTAGACATGCTATGATAGTAGACATGCTCGTGGCATGTCGAGGTCATCGGTGACGCGAACCCATAAGTTTTTTCCCCTAGATACCGAAAATCGCTCAGCGCGGCGTAAGAAGTTTTCAGTTTAATAAGTTAATATACGCGATATAATTTGTAAACTGGTTTTATTTAAACGTTAAGCATAATTTTGCCTTAATTCTTGCGTCACGTGAAATGTATGCAGCGGTCTGTTTTTCTTTCTTTATTGATCTGAGTCTCTGAGGGTATTCAGATTTTGGAGATACAACTAGCTTGCTTGCGAGCTTTAAGCATTATTTGATTAAACCTAAATATTCTTTTACGTGGTAGAGTCATGCTGCAGCTATATTGTGGTTGCAGTACGAATGGGTCGACTCGTCCGGGGAGCGACCATGCTCTCACAGAATACAAGCGTAAAATAGCAGCTTAATGCTGCTGTGTTTCGTATGGTGAGTGTAGAGAAGTCTTTTTTCTAGATAAACGCAAATATTTATATAGTAGATAGTTGTGCTCCAAGCTTTTCTCTAATCTTTCAAGGTACGAATGTCAGTAGATACACTTTGGAATGGGCATAACCAGCACTCGCTTAAGAGTCCCTGATAATATAGTGACCGTGTAGCGGCATGTAGTATCCAATACTCCATATCGTCCGGTGGGTGTCGTACGAGGTTACAGAGGGAAACAAACCAGGAGATCGACAGCAGCATTTTCCTAATGACATCAAGAAAATGATAAACTGCGGTTGGCAAAATATTTTTTTTTACGTGGTACAGCCATGCTGCAGCTATATTAGTGGTATAGTTGTAGCACGAATGGGTCAGTTCGAACGAGGAAGGGCCACGCTCTCACAGAATACTAGCGTAAAATAGCAGCTTAACGCTGCTGTGTTTCGTATGGTGAGTCGAGAGAACCGGAGACACTTTTTAACTGGGACTTAGTTCTTACGGGTGACAACGCATCTGCATTTTTTTTGATGGAGATATCTATGGGCCACAGCAATCACTTACCCGACGTGGACTGTGTGCTCGTTTGTCACCCTTATCCTATAAAAAAACTTTGGCAAATATTCCCCTTATGAGACAATCTATGGGATGACTTATGTTTGTCTTTGGCAGGCTGTAATGAATAGTGTAGTGTTTAGTAAATATTGCTCATTGAATTGTGTACCTTAACAGCGAGATCATAAGGCACAATCACGTCGCTCTTGGAATGCAGTATGAGAACAGGCACGTGGGGCGCCAAGGCTAAATACTCGTCCGTAGTGAACGCGTACTCCGATGACGAGGCGAAAGGATCCAGAATGGTTTTTTTGTAATATGGTAGCCAGGAAACGAGCTAAAATAGAAATTTAAATAGTATTTTCAACAAGTCCCCCATCTCATTTCTGAGAGTTTTGCGGCAAGTAAGTGTCCGCCGCGTAGCTCTAATGCGGACTTCATATGTCGACGAAATATTTTTTTAAATAATAATAAATAAAATAAAATGGTAAATTTGTTTAAATATAATATATGTGTAATTATCTATACGTGGTAGAGCCATGCTGCAGCTGTATTAATAGTATAGTTGTAGCACGAATGGGTCAGCTCGACAGGGGAAGGACCACGCTCTCACAGAATACCAGCGTAAAATGGCAGCTGAACACTGCTGTGTTTCGTATGGTGAGTGTAAAGAACCGAAAACCCCGTTTCCTACTAGAAACGAGGCATTCCATCTTAGTCCTCAGGGGTGACAACGCATCTGCATTTTGATTCTTTATTGACGATAGATGAGTCTAGATGTTTGTCACCCTTATTCTATAAAAAAAAACTTAATATTTGTTTCTTCTAAGGCATAGCCATAAGATTGGAAGACAGGGCAAATTTGACAGTGAAAACACTAAGTGACCTTTTAACACTTTCACTGTCCGATTTCCAAACACAATAGTAAGACAATATCAAACAACTATATGTAGTTCACGGGACAGCGAACGGGTTAACTTTGCTCTGTCAGTGAATTTGAATACAACCTTTGAAAACGGATGACATTCGATTTCATCGATGAGATTGTTAAAAGGTGCTTCCAAGACGAGGGCATCTGGTTGTGGCAAACATCTCTGACCCAGATCTGCACATAAGATGGACAAGTTGGCCACCAGATTCGCGGCCACAGCGGTACCTAAGACACAGGAATTGAAAGAGAAATATTTATTTATTTATCAATTTATATACCCAAACACGCACGTTGCATACGAGCCGTGCTGCAGCTGTATTAATTGTATAATTGTAGCACGAATGGGTCGGCTCGACCGTGGATGGACCACGCTCTAACAGAATACCAGCGTAAAATAGCAGCTAAACGCTGCTGTGTTTCGTATGGTGAGTTTAGAGAACCGGCGACCCTTTTTACTGAAAAAGGGGCATTCCATCTTAGCCCTGTCTTTGGGCCATTGCAACCACTTACCATTAGGTGGACTGTATGCTCGTTTGTCACCCTTATCCTTTAAACACATACACACATAACGAAGAGGACACATCATGATGATGTTGCTAGTTGGGACTGAATTGAATTTATTTGTTACGCAGATGGTTATACAGTGTCATCATCATTGACGAAAAAAAAGCGATTTTATAAGTTTTTCGGTTTCTAGTGTATTAGATAATAATACACAAAAAATGTCTCATTATTGTTTTTAATTTTTTTCTTCTTCTACTTTTAGTAGATAATGCCCGTAGTTTGGTTTATCCATTTCTAATCTAATTAATATAAAGTACTAACTAATATTACACAAAGAAACATTAATCTCCACACTTATACAACAAATTAACTTCCCCAGCTGTGAAATCCATCAAATATGTCACCTCATTTTTAAGTGGCGCCGCCCTGGTGGCAGAAAAAATTGTGGAGAGTGTTATTGCTGCAATTCAAAAGCTGCTTAATACGACGACGGAAGTAGCGTCAAAGATTATATGGTGTGTTACTGCGATTTTATATTCGACTGCCAAATGTGACAATTAAATTACGGTTGTAGTTTAGCACGAATGGGTCGGCTCGACCGGGTTAGGAATACACTTGCACAGAATACCAGTGTAGAGAACCGGAGACCATTTTAAATGGAAACGAGACATTCCATCTCAGTCCTCAGGGGTGACAACGCATCTGCATTTTGATTCTTAATTGAATATAAATGTAGATGTCTATGGGTCACAGCATCCACCGACCAATTCGTTCGCTAAGTCACGTCGTTAGCATAAATCTAGAATTAATCTTGGCTAACTACAAATATAGGACTTACCTAAAGAGTGTCCCCAAATCAGAACCATAGGCCTTTTTTCCCGGTTGACAGATTCTATAATCCAAGAGTAAACTTGCAGTGTGTCTTCAACTACACCTTTCTCAGTCGGTCGCACGCGTGTAGAGTCACCATAGCCTGATAGATGATTTAATACAGAGATTATATAACTGTTGCTACAGCGGCAGAACTACGTTTTTAAATAGAATAATTATTATAATGTCATTTTGACCGAATTTCGGTCACGGCGGCCTGTCTCAACGGTGGCAAGCCATCTGCGCAGGACAGGATTGGGTACAGTGACCAAGATAAGTGTATGCGCAAGTGTAGTGCTCTCTCTGTTGACCTCATTCTCATAGTCCGATAGGACGGACGGACGATTTACGTGCTTTTCAAAGGATGGGTATGAAACATTGCCAACTTCCTGACTCTGATCTGCTACTGATTATTTCTCTACAGAAAAACACAATAACCAATTTTCAGTCTGACCCCGGATTCTTCACCAGTCGCACTTACAAATCACTCGGCCAATGAGACAGTTGTCCATTGAACCATTAAAGTTCAATGCGATCAATTCGTCCACCAAACCTGATTATTAAGACATATCTTCTTTGCGACGAAAGAGATTCATGTCCCGTAGAGGATTTTAAAGGCTAATGGAGACGAAGATTATGTCCAAACGCAAACGACATTTTTTTCCTTTGCCTATGCGAATATCCTAACCCTGTCTACAAAGCAACAGGTTATAATTTAATAGTTCCATGTTTACTTACCTCTGTAATCGAAAGTAATGATATGGAAGTTCAGTTCTTGAAAGATTTTATACATCTGCAGCCGGTGAGGTGACGCTCTGTGGTTGGAATTACCTAAAGAAATGAATCTATATTTAAGTATATAAAATTAAAATGATAGAGTAATCACGGAAAAACTACTGAATAAATTTAAATTAGGTTTTTAATTCTTAAACAGTAGAAAAAAAAATATTGCGATATCTTCATTTAATGGTCGTAATATAAAGTTAATAAAGTTTTAAGAAAGAACGGTTTTTATACAGGGTTATTCACACGGTGTACGTCGCTTGCTCTCGCGTTACTAACCCAGATAATTTATATATTTTAGCTAAAAACGGAGCAACGAATAACATTGTTTACTCGCACAGAGAACTTTTGTCTTTCTGATGTTTTTTAATTTGCATATACGAAAACTTTGTTAATATATCAATATTAACATACAAAATATTTTGATTCGTTATCAATCATCCTAAAAAGTTAGAAACTCAGAAATCATTTTAGAAAAATTATCAAGTAAGTAAGTAAGTCTTTTGCTGTGTTTTATTTAAATTAATTAATTTTTAAGTGACACGTGCTGTAGTATATCCAGTATAATTCCAGGTATGAAACGATTTCACCTTAGTCCCCAGAGGTCAAAGGAATTGGGAGCAAGTGTCCATAGCCACATGCCAGCAGATGGTGTTATGTTCATTTGACCCTTATTTTTTTTTATAAAACCCTACATGACACTATTAGATATAGTCTAATTAATCACCTAGAAAAAGCAACGCGTTTCTTGATTAACAGCTCAAGATTACATTGGCTATTTAAAGGCTGCATTATCACTGCCATGGCCCATGGTACCTGTACTGCACTCACCAGCTCGTCTGCCCGAGCATGTTTATTATGGGAAACTATTACACATATTTTATTTCACGATGGCGGGGTTGTCTTTGTTGTGAGTGTAGGTGCACACGTATATTGTTTTAGTGTACGTAAACTCGAGTGTCATAAAGTCGAGTACCGTCAGAATGGACAGTGTGTGGAAGGACCACGCTCTCACAGAATACCAGCGTAAAATAGCAGCTCAATGTTGCTGTGTTTCGTATGGTGAGTGTAGAGAACCGGATACCCTTTTTACTAGAAACGAGGCATTCCATCTTAGTCCTCACGGTGACATCGCATCTTCATTTTGATTCGTAATCGAAGATAGATGTACCTAGATGTCTTTGGGCCACAGCAACCACTTACCATAAGGTGGACTGTGTGCTCGTTTGTCACCCTTATCCTATAAAAAAAAACGTACACAAGAACGCCTGTCTATACACATCTTAACTACAATCAATATTCACCCGCCTTCGTGAGTTAAACCATATTACCCGACACATTAATGGACTTAAGAGGTCTAATGCAATGCATTTGATTGTGATAATGTCCTCCAGAGCGAATTTCGGTCATGGCGGCATGTGCAGGACAGCATTATAGTGCCCAAGTGTATGCGCAAGCACAGGTGCACTCTCTATTCTAACGGGCGATAACCCGACACGACGAGAGAGAGATCAGGCGCAGGACCAACGGCTTTATATGCTTTTCGAAGTTGGCGGGGAAACACCGCCAACTGCCTGACTTTGAACTGCTACTGGGAATTTAACTTCTTGACTGAAAAACCTTCTAAATGATTTTATCTCGACCCGGGATTCGAACCCAGAACCTAATAATCAACAATCTCGTTTACAACCACTAGACCAATAAGGCAATTCCTTCGATACGAATTGTTTTAATAAAGGCCTAGATATATTAAAATTTATTTACCATGGCAATAAAGCACGACGGTGTTCTGAGTCTTCTTTAACTCCTTGAGGAGTCGCGTATTTGAGTCAAGATGATCCCGAACAACAAATAACTCCTTGAATAGACAGCTGGGTACTATATGCCATACTCCTAGAAGAGATCATGTTTTTATAAAGAAGAGTTTAAGAATCTAACACGAGGACATTAAGGCGCTTCAGACGTTAAGTCTAAATCCGCATCAAAGATATCTTATCTTCCCTATTGGAAAAGGTAAACGAAAGTGGCGGACTATGCATGTCCCATTGCTGGGCATAGGCTTTCTATAATTTCTGGGCAGTGTAATGGAGCAAAGAGTCCATTCCAATTAATCCAGTCATTAATTACTCGTTTCCTCTGATACTTCGACGAGCACTTAGACCCTGAACTACATTGTGATAGTATGAAAGTCATGTCCAGTATGTTTTGAATGAGAATGAGAATCGATGACAGTGACGATCTAAGAACTTTTTTAGATTGCTGGATTAATTTTCTACTGGTATTATTTAGAATAAAAACTCAGTGCTGAGTGGACTCAAGCTTTCCACTTTTTATTTCCTTACTCTCATTGTTTTTTTTATAGGATAGGGTGACAAACGAGCACACAGTCCACCTGATGGTAAGTGGTTGCTGCGGCCCATAGACATCTACATTTATTCTCAATAAAGAATCAAAATGCAGATGCGTCGTCACCCGTGAGGACTAAGATGGAATGCCTCTTTTCCAGTAAAATGGGTCTCCGGTTCTCTACACTCACCACACGAAACACAGCAGTGTCAAGCTGCTATTTTACGCAAGTATTCTGTGAGAGCGTGGTCCTTCCCCGGTCGAGCCGACCCATTCGTGCTACAACTATACTACTAATATAGCTGCAGCATGGCTCTACCACGTAATTGTCTGATGGGACGGCAATACAATACGACTGGAGAGAAGGCACGCGCAAGACGAGCGGTCTTTCGTGTTTCCCGAGTTACGGGGTTGAAACACCTCCTACTTCCTCCGAGCTACTGAGAAACCAAGTTACTAATTGGTTCGCCCGACCTGAGATTTCATCGTGGGATCTCATGTCGTCATCTGTCGCCCTTACGATAATTAAACCAACGAGCCGAGTCAAATCCTATCCTGCTATCGCCAATCGTTTACAAAGCGTGGAAAATACATTCGGAAAGAGTATTTCCGCAAGATCCCTGTCAAATTAACAAAAGTTTAACCATTAAGGCAAATAAATGCTGCCTACAATTGGTGATATTCCATATTCAAAAGATTTTCCATATTAAAAAATTTTCTTTTTTTATAGAATTAGGGTGACAAACGAGCACAAAGTCCACCTGATGGTAAGTGAATACTGTGGCTCATAAAGATCTACATATATCCTCGGTTAAGAATCAAAATGCAGAAGCAGAGGATTAAGATGGAATGCCTAGTTTCACGTGAATACGGGTCTCCGATTCTCTACAATCATCATACAAAACACTGCAGCATTAAGGTGCTATTTTACGCTGGTACTGTATGCAAGGGTGGTCCTTTTTCGATCGAGTCGACCCATTATATTTTGTAGTTTTTGTAGAACCAGTACGTGTTATCATTGATGACACGTGGAATTTAAACATGATTCTACACTTCTGTCCATAAGAAGGGTTCTGCTCAGAGTTTCTCTGCATGATACAGTCCGTAACAAAGATAGTCGCAGTAGAACCAGAGATCGGCATAGGCCAATGGAATAGTAAGTTGAAGTGGCAATATGCCGGCCAGCTTGAAGACCCGACAACCGATGGGGACGAAAGTTTATACAGTAGCAATTGTTAGTTCTAAAATTGTCTTAACTTTATCATAAAGTGAGTTTCGTGTTGTCTATCTTGATAACATAAAAATCTAAATGTACTATTTACCCAATTTGATAGGACAGCGGTCCACTTTTGAATGGAATTCGATATTAAAATTTCTTGCTCCAACAATGTTGCAGCTTGAAGGTTTGTTGTAATCTAAATTTCTTGGATAATTTACTGAAAAATTAACAGATTATTTATAAGATGCTATGTGATGGTGACATGAAAGAAGCAATCGTCCCGAGAGTAGAAGGACAGGACAAGAAGATTCCGCTTGAAGGTGGTATACCAAGTGCTTTGGAATTTTTTTATAGGATAGGGTAACAAACGAGCACACAGTCTCCACCTGATGCTAAGTGGTTGCTATGGTCCATATACATCTACATCTATCCTCGTTTGCAAATCAAAATGCAGATGCGTTGTCACCCGTGTGGACTAAGATGGAATGCCTCTTTTCCATTAAACCGGTTCCGGTTCTCTACACTCACCATACGAAACACAGTAGTGTTAAGCTGCTATTTTACGACTAAAAGTGTATACTCATGAGTCCCAGAGCGACGACGGAGAGTAGTGCTATTGTTTTTATTACAGAGTGAGGGAGTACTCATTGTTTACAGTGATTAAGACAAATCGTCGCTGCAACGGGAAGGGGCCATCTCCAGGACTAAACTTTTGCTAATTTAAAAATAAGAAAAATGCAATATATTATGCTTAATGTTTTAGGTTTAAAAGGATTTAAATTATTTGAAATAAGTTAATGTTTATTATGTAAAACGCCTGACTAAAAATAATAGGAATAGCTCTTTACTAAATTTCTGCAGAAGATTGTTACTAGGGTACTTTTATAATTAAAAATTTTTTTTATTCTTCCATAAAATCTTTTTAATTAATCGTCATTACCATTAGAAATTGTAAATAATAATTTCAGTAGATTTGATTATCACTATACAAAAACAGCGGATAACACGGATAAAACGGATACAGGCTGATGAAGAAACTTTATTAGGTGGTAGGACTTTCATTTCTGCCTAGGAGTCCGTGTGTTTAGATACCACCCTATTATTTATTGTAGCCAAGCTATTAGCTATTAGCAGCGCGTGCTATTATCTGGTCTGAAAGGAATATAAATCTAGTCTATAATCATAATTACATACTGTGAGGCATTCCATCTTAGTCTCCAGAAGTGACAGCGCATCTGTACCAAATACCATCAGGTCTTATAAAAACCATACGTTTATGATTACTGAAGGTTTTTTTGCTATTAATATAAAGCTAATATTCCTTTCAACCACTCCTGGTAAACTTAAAATGCTTGTATTGGAAGTGGTTCACAACAGTAGCGAATGGTGGAATCGAACCCACGAACTTTTAAGTACGCGGCCCGCACCCTGTCATTAGGCTACTGTCGCGTTAAAAAAGTTTATACGTCACGAAAAATGTATGTACTCTAGACATTCTTGATTACTTACTACAGTTGGAGAAGACCATTTTCCTTTGCACCGACTTGCTATATTTAAACAGTAGTGGCAGGACTGCCATCTGGATCATGAGGAAACCGGCGGTCAAGGACGCGCCTGTCACAAAAATGGCGCTAAAAGGCAAACATCGCTCTATTAATTAGGAGTATAGTTTATAATCGAGCTAGGTGATATGGCTGGATTAAACTCGCGATCATAAAATATGCTACAATGTACGCAACAAGTTTAGTGTCGAAAGAGAGTTTATGGCTTGGTGAGCGAAGTGGTCAATAATTTAAAATTAAAAATTTTGTACAGCCGACTTCAATATAAGTTATTTAAGAATAACTTAAAAACTATTGGTCTGACCTTGATCAAATTCATATGGGACCACACGAGAAGAACCAGCTTTCAAATAAAAAAAGAATCATCGAAATCGGTTCACCCAGAAAAAAGTTCTGAGGTAACACACATAAAAAAAAAAAAAAAAAAAACGAAAAAAAAAAACATACAGTCGAATTGAGTACCGGCTCCTTTTTGGAAGTCGGCAGAAAATAATTAATGCACATTGACCCACTATACAAAAAAATATCGCAGTAATGTTTTAATGTTAACAATATGGTTTCTGGGTATGTTATACATAAGTACTAATTATTATTGTTTTTATTTTTCAATATTATTTAGTTTAAGTGCGTATTTAGTAAGTTAGTATTTTTACATCAGTAACCGGTTGTCCGTAACTCAATAATTAAGGTCCCGACTGTAAACCAGTGCTGCGGTATCCAACGAGTTATCACTGAGGCGGGATCTTTCTTGACATCACAGAACTGCTTAATTACCTATTTGTAATTTGTACGAATTTCTCAGTTTCATATTGTCAATTATGTGTGTGTTGGTCAAATAAATATTTCTTTCTTTTTTTCATTCCCGATGATTCACAAGCTACTCAATAGCGTGGGACAGTAATGACTGACGGGATTGGAATTGACGAGCGTACATGGTGATGTCGAGATCAATCTAGAGATCGTTGTCGCGCGATTTATTCATCTACGTCGTCGATTGTCTCCTGATTACAATAGCATCGATCTTAAATTATAGTATACTTATAATTATTATTTTAAAATAACGTTGTTAGGTACCTAATAATATCCTCCAGACCGAATTTCGGTCACGGCGGCCAGCCTCAACGGAGACTAGCCATCGGCGCAGGACAGGATTAAAGTGCCCAAGCGTATGCGCAAGCACAGGTGCACTCTCTATTCCAACACTCTCAAAGTCCGATAGGACGGTAAACCGACACCACCGGAGAGATCCGGCGCAGGACCAACAGCTTTACATGCTTTCCGAGGCACGGAGGTGAAACACCACCAGCTCCGGGCAGCTACTGAAAGTTTCTTGATAGAAAAGATCAATAACTGATTTTTTTGACCCGACCCGGGATTCGAACCCGGAACCTCACGATTAGCAGTCGCACTACTACAACCACTACACCAACAAAGCAGTCAAGTTGTTAAGTATTTACTTATAGTTTCTGGAGCAGAGCTTAACCCCCCCCCCCCCCCCCCCCCCTCGATCTTATTGAATTCCTGGCTGGCTGGTTGTCTGCACTGCGATCGTTAATACGCCTACCAACAGTGACGAAAGGCAAATACTCCCCCACTACTGGTGAGACACAATGTCATAGAAACTTGCTCGTCTTTACGAAGCAACCAACACTTGCCCGATATATTTTTTTATGTAAAGTACTTGGGTTTTAATTGACCCAACACTGGTAAATGGCTATCGTAACGCGTGAGACCTATAACTTATTTATTTACGTAATATAGGGTACATTTGATTCGGTTGGCCGATTTATATTATCCTGCATTTAAATCAAAACTTACCCCAGCACCATGGTTCATTATTCACTGAGAATTTTCCAAAGTAAATTTGTTCATTTTATTCTATTTTATTTAACATTTTTATGTATTTCAATTCTGTTTTGAAATACATCATACCGAATTGCCTGGCATGGCACAAGTCATTGTGACAGAAGAATATTTTTTATGCTAAAAAAAAAAGGTAATTTCGTCTGTGATATTTATGCATCGGTAGTCACAGATTTTACACCTGTGTACTTTTTATTACTTTATGTATTTTTGGTAGATTTTGTCAATCATAAAATCGGAATCTGAGCGGTTTTCTATAATGTTTAATTCATAGAGCAACACTGCCCACCGACGGATCGGAGGGTACTCCCCTCGCCATGCGCAGGCGTTCCCCTCTGTCAATGTATAAGTCCACGCGCTCATATGCGTACCATAAAACTAGTTGCATCCGCATTCAGTTCTTTTGCTGCAAAGAGAGATCTACTGAGTTAAATTTACACAAAAATGCCGATGCCATTCGTATATTAAATAATTTTTAATCACATTATTGTTATTTACTTCTCTTTGAAGTTGCCGGTGCGTCTATAAAATACCGGATTGATCGAGAGAGAGCGAGAGTTTGCGTCACTCTAGCGGAGCGTCACCATGGTGGCGAGGTGGAATTGAGGGTATACCGAGAACCCCCCCCCCCCCTCAATCGTTTGTGCAGTATAAAGTTAATTGTAGGCCCCTTGTGTGGGAGAGTCCATCTAAGTCATTCTACGTAGTAGTAGTGCTAAGATAGTATGGTAGTTCTGTCCATTGTGGTGGTTCTTCTGGTGCAGGCGAGGAGGATGGTGTTGCTGAGCGGCTGCCTCGTGTTACACTGAGATGTGTAATTGCTGTTGGTTTGCATACTTTGGTGTTATCATGTAATTACGTCCCTCACGTTACACTGGTGAGTGATCGTAGCGGAGACGTGTTACGGTGTGGTCGAACTGTAATTACTCTATACAGAATGTATAGTAGCTTAAGCAAGAGAGTTGAACATCTGCTCTCACACTTTTACTATTTTTAACAATTAACCTTATCCTGATGTATTACCGACACCAGAAGTGGGATCTTATGATAAAGTTCCGACAAACTTAAAAATTACAATAATGACGGTCGTGTTGTTTCGTATTTGTCTACCAAAACAGGTCAGTCGCCCTCATACAATATGCAGATCGGACGAACGTCTGGTCTGTAATCGAATTGTCGCTGCCACTGAGCGATTTTGTTATAATGTATCTAAGTCTGTGTAAAATTGTTAGTTTATTGTATGTGTTTCTGACACATGCAGTAAACATATGTTAGTGACAGACTTTTATTTTAGTGTGCGTAGATTTCTCCCCGTAAACAATGATAGACAGTTTTGTATCGAAGAAAAACGCTATGGCTACTACCCTCTTGTTCCCCGGTGGCCCGTATTGCTCTATGGTTTAAGTATATTTTAGCCTTTCTACTTTATTTGACATGATGAAAGTGATGAAAACTAATAAGCAAGGGAGGCGCGTGTAGTTTTAAATGAGAGTACTACCAGAGTGAACGACTGCCACTGTAGTTTTCCGCTTTGATGGGAATCTACCCACAGAACACAGATATCCAAAAAGCGCTATCAAGTGCCTAGTTTTGTGACAATTTCTAGCTGCAATTGTATAGTCGTCAAGTTGCTATCTATATCACGCAAGCCTTAGAGCTTAGAGTAACTTCTATGGCGCATGCAATGCAATTTGAAAAGATGACATTTTTATTTACTTCACCTTTTATTTTTTTTTTCTCAATATAGACGTAAATGTGCCATTATGAAATGTGTTATTTGTCATGGGTATCATTGCACGATGCTTTTCACCTATAATATATAGCATTTTTGTGAATATTATTTAATACCACCTACACATATGATTATTGTATTTTTGTAATGTGCAATCAATTTTAATAAGTATTCCTTTTTGCTTTTATTGACTATAACGTAAAGAAATATATTTGTACACCACACTGTGGTAGAATACACGATACCTACTGTAAATTTTACCAACACCTAACTTACTGTATTCACAAATAAATATATGAATTTGAATTTGCAATGTTGTTAGCCCTTAGCCTCAATGTTCATTCACGATTATGAACACAATTGCTCGGCGATACAGTTGAAGGCGATGCTGGAATATACTCTGCAAGGTTTTGCATAACAACATGTAACAGAATGTATCACTGGCACTATTGCTGACCTATAAATTCTCAGGAAGATTTCCAGTAAGATACAATTTTCAGGTGTGAAGCTTTTTATTGTAGTACCCAGGTAAGATGCTATATCTACTTTTTTGATTGAATGCGGTTGCACTTGTCTACGGGCTGCATTAGCTACCTATTATCGGTTGAAAGTGAGTTCGTTCGGAACTAATATTAGGTATAAAGAAAAAATAAGCAAGGACTGGTTTGGCTGGGGGATTGGCGATCGCAGTACCAGATGTCTCATGGCTGTAACGCTGCTCTGCGTTCTCGCTCTGGATCTTTTATATCTACTACATACAATGGCAATATCGCCATCTACCGGAGGCATTTGATCGAATCTCACATAAAAGAGAATAAATGTCAAATGAGGATACTTCACAACAACAATTACTTTTTATATCTATAATGGTTACAGACCGTAATATATAGACCGTACCGTAATATATATATATATATATATATATATATATTACGGTACGGTCTAACCTAAGTGCCCTTTTGGATCGCAGACACACAAAAATATGTGGGTGTGCGTGTGTGTGTATGTGAGAGAGCGTGCAGTGTATTCGTGTGTGTAAATCTGAACATCTTGATCGATATTGATTTTCCCCTTTTCCGTGGACAGCCAATGTGCCATAGCATTTTTATACGTGGTAGAGCCATGCTGCAGCTATATTAATAGTATAGTTGTAGCACGAATGGGTCGGCTCGACCGGGGAAGGACCACGCTCTCACAGAATACCAGCGTATAATAGCAGCTTAAAGCTGCTGTGTTTCGTATGGTGAGTGTAGAGAACCGGAGACCCTTTTTACTGGAAAAGAGGCATTTCATCTTAGTCCTTACGGCTGACAACGCATCTGCATTTTATTTTGCAAGCGAAGACAGATGTAGATGTCTATGGGCTACAGCAACCACTTACCATCTGGTAGATTGTGTGCTCGTTTGTCACTCTAATTCTATATAAAAAAAGCAACGGTACTAACCGCTGTACCGCTTAGGTGATAAGATCGTAGGTTAGTTCAAAGTGCCAAAGATACGGGGAGAGTAACAAATGTCCAAATGACTTGTTACTGAAAATAAAACTCTGTTTATTATCATAGTTTAATAGTTTATTCATTACCACTACTAAACCATACCAAATTAAAATGTCCTAAATACTATAATAATGTACTAAAATATTAAATACTAATACATCATACATAATTAAAAAAATATGCATTGACTGTATTTACTGTTTGCGTCCATTATTTCGTGAGGCGATTTTGACGACTTTCCCACGCTCCCCCTCCTACAGGACAGTTGTGCCCCCCGCCCTAAATCTCAAATTACATTTTTCAAAATACGTATTTTTAGTGTAAATACATTAATCTGTCAATGTTTTATTTAAAAAAATGGTTAATTATTTTTATGTAATTTGTGCAGTTCGCATCACCACGATAAATATTGTTGTATATGATTTAGCTAAATAATCCCCAGATTCAGATCAACCCCCCCCCTCCCCCCCCCCCACCACCATTAACACTTTTTACTTTATTTTCGGTTTGATTGGACTAAGCAATATCACAAGCTCCAAGGTAACAACTAGAAACTACTCGCCTAAATGGTTACAATAAAAATTACCTATCGTTTATTTTTCCAGTCTTGGTGGTGGACTTTTTCCTTTCACATGAAATTGGATAGTCCCTACATAAAAAAAAGAATCATTTAACTCGGTTAAGCCAGTTTCCGAGAAATTGCTGAAAATACATAAAAACATATACATATATGCATTATTTTAGAGACGTTCATTTATCGTAATTAGAGTTTACAATCTACAACACTGACAAGATTGAGTGGTTGTTTTAAAATAATTAATTCTTAAAAACAATTTATTCAATTTAAAAAAAAGAAATAAAGTTAAATAAAATATTGTTTACGTAGTAAACAATTTATTAAACTAAAAAAATAATTTCGTATCATAAAAGTGTGACGTCCTCTCCTCGTCGAAAATTTGCGTGTAAAACAAAAAAACAACACTAAATAGTTATTTACTCAAGGTATTCTTCTATTTTCTTCACAGGTGATTCTTCACGAAGTCACTGGAAAAAATATTACATCAAACTATTAAAGGTACATATATACTAATATAGTTATATTACACTATTATAGCTAAAGTACAATTATATAAAGGCAAATAGGGAAAATAAAGTTTTTGTAGTAAGCAACACTCTGGTAAATAATTGGATTAAAACGTCTTGATACTTTTCAAGAGAATATAACATTAATTAGCCATTTGTCGGATTTGTACTTAGCTAATTATTTTACTTCTACCCACTTTATTTCGTTTCTTGATTGCAGTAACATTATATTATTCTGTTTTGGTATGTATTCAAATAGGAGGGCTTAGCAGCTGTAACACAGGTCTGTGACCTAACACGGTTGCTAAAGATAGCCTAATATAGTATTGAGTTGAATTATGTCTTGTCAATATAATGTCATCAAAAACATAACTTGTAAAAAAAACCAAGTCTCGCAACTCAGTTCTTCTACCGTAAAAAGTTGTGAGATTCATGTAATACCAAGTCGGTTAATTTATTCAGTCCCTACTTAAGGGTTCTTTTGTCTCAAGCTATTACGTAATTAGCTAACCTAACAACATCTTATAGTGACCATATCAATATTAAGAATCTTTTATGTTTCTAAATAAATAGATTGACTTGGCCATCGCATGAAAACACAATGTATCTCACAACTATTACATATTATATTAAATTAGATTGTTTAGTGCGATTGCCAAGTCAATCTATGTATTTGAAACGTAAAAGATTTTTGTGTTTCAATTTTTGTGCCGCTTTTTTGCTCGACTTGGCGGATTGGATTGGCTTGGATTTTATAAGTTTTTGTTTTATGTAGTGTTTTTGGGTTCAATAAATATTATAATTATTACTATTATTAATGTAGTGGAGTGAGGTGGAGTGGAGGTTTTATCGTGTATTGGCGGTGAAAGAATACCCATTACTTCATATCATCCCGTGGGTGTCGTAAGAGGTGATAGAGGGGAAACAAATCGGGAGATGGGCAGCAGCGCCTTCTTAATAACTACTAAAAATTAAAAACTGCGTTTGCCAACGCTTGCCAAGCGTGGTAACTATAGCAAATATCCTATGTTCAGCGGTGGACTTAAGTAGGCTGCAACGGTAACGGTAATGTAGGTTAGAATATCCACAGTGTGGGTGTCGTAAGAAGCGACAGTGGGAAATGAAACAGCAGATGCAGATGCATAACAACTCCAAGTAATAAAAACACTGGCAAAATCCACCTTATCGTCCTCCTCATCTAAGCGAGAGCGTATGATCGGCAGTGGACAGTTGAGCTTTATTTTTTTTTATATAGGATAGGGTGACAAACGAGCACACAGTCCACCTGATGGTAAGTGGTTGCTGTGGCCCATAGACATCTACATCTATCCTAGTTTGCGAATCAAAATGCAGATGCGTTGTCACCGGTACTCTACACTCACCATACGAAACACAACAGCGTTAAGCTGCTATTTTACGCTGGTATTCTGTGAGAGCGTGGTCCTACCCCGGTCGAGCCGATCCATTCGTGCTACAACTATACTACTTATATAGCTGCAGAATGGCTCTACCACGTAAAAAATTATTGATATTTAGGCCGAACTCGTTGAAAGTACAAACAGTATTTTTAAGTTTGGCAAGGGTATTAAGGGTTCACTCCTCACAAGTTAATTAAGAACTCCACTAGAACAAGTGACGACCTGGAGACATGCAGGAAGTCGATGAATGCAAGTAGCTGACATCCGTTGGAGAAGGCATTTGTACAGCAGTGGAATTGTGATGGGCTGAATGATGAGGGCTGTAATGATGATAAGGCGAGTGGGGATTGAAGTTCGCTCTCCACAACTAATAACTTTGTGCTTTATAGACTTACCCAACCACCTCGGACAAGTTCGCAGCACTACTGATATACTTGTGACCCAAATTCTCCCTTTCGTCGTACAAGTGAAGTTTTGCTGTTGCGCCGCCTTCAGATCTAGACTCCAGGATCGATTTGTGCAACTGGAACAAATAAAAAACAATATCATAAAATACTGTTGCTGTTACAGTCTATTTAAAGTCCACTGCTGACCATATACTTCCTCTATAGATTACCTCATAGGGGGGGGGGGGGGTTAATATATATATAATGGCAACCACAGTTTTTATTTTTAGTCCTTATATAAGGAAGACGCTGTGTATCTCCTGGTTTGTTTCCTTCTTCACCGACACTACACGGTAATTATAAAATACTGATATCTGGCATAGCCTACAAATGAAACAGTACGTGGGTAGCATCTTTTTCATAGTATTCAGAAATTAAAAAAACTGCGGTTGCCAAACCGCTTACCAATCGTTATAATTATGGCAAATGTATGAGGCAGTCTATGGTAGGCTTGGGCAAAAAATATCGATATACCGATATTTTCACATAAAAATCTCGATATATATCGGCGATATTTTTAATCGTGATATATCCATATTTAGTTTAGAGAATCAAATTCGTATCAATTGCTATATATTTTTAATTTATCGAAATTAATTTTAAAATGTTGTAAGGAAGCGTCAGTAGCCTAATGGCAGGGCGCGGACCGCGAACTCGAAAGGTCGTGGGTTCGAATCCGCCATTCGACTACTGTCGTGAACCACTTCTAACACAAGCATTTTAAGCTTACCAGAAGCGGTTAACGGGAATATTAGTAATGTTTAACAGCATTACTAGTATTTTTTTTATAAAAAAAAAAAATGGACAAAGCAATAAAAGCAGCTATAAAAGCATTCATGTGCGGTTGTCGTTTTTTTTTTCGTCGTTCAACATTCAGTATTTAAATTAAGGGCCTTATCCCAATACATTATGCAAACGATGACGATATATCGATATATATCACGAGATATATAACAATACTGTTTAAAATATCGATACAATATTCGATACAATATATATCGATATATTTTTTGCACTTGCCCATCCCTAATATATGAGGAAGGCCTATTAAAAGTTCGGTAGTGAACATTTAATAGGCTTTAATGGTCTCATTTGTACAGGGTTATTTTTCAGAGTAGCCAAAGAACATCGGTCACGGCCCATACATGCTGTGACCTAGCTATAAAATATCGCGAATACGACTAGTGTATGGATTAATCCCCGTGGGCACAATTTCAATACTAAACTGAAAATATATTATTTAAAAGCCGAGGATCATATCACGATACACTTATGTATTTCGTCAATTTTGAGGTTATGATGTTATAAGTTAAAAGTAAACGCATAATGGTAGTACAGTGGATTTCGGGTATAACGACGATGAAGGGACCACTCTATTTTCATCGTTATATCCGGAAGTCATTACAGGCAAAGGTAACAAATTTAATAATATATTACAGTTGCTACTCAGAATATCACTTTGTAACTGAACCATAAATTTAACTCCGAAACGTACACGCTTCCCTACCTACTTAGCTGATATCTATAAACAAAACTCAAAGGTCTCTACACTTGTTGTTCTTAAGTTCGTAAGTTTAATAAAGTTCAAAAACTTTATTAAACTAAGTTTGTATAAAAAGGGTTATTATAATATTAAGGAATTTATAGATGATAATAACCCCTGGAAATGAGGTGATCGCTACCAAGCTATTTCTAATTTGTTGTGTTGTTTATTTGTGTAACATCATGATTGTAAGCTGTTATTTAAAAAAAAAAGTCCCGCTGGGTTTCTTGCTGGTTCTTCCCAGGACAGACATTTTTTCCGAACCAGTGGTAATCAAACAAAAGAGTGACTTTCAATAAGTATTATTTATAATCTATATTGAATAAAAAAGTTTCTGATTCTGTTGACCATCTGTATGGATGTAAACAAAAGATAAGAAATGTTTGTGAAAGAAAGAAATCTTTGTCTTTGGCGGCCAACTCCGGTCGCAATATCTACATGGGATTTCTAGGAATTTGTTACAAATGATTCATTAAAAATATTCGCTACACCCGAACTCGGCGTTACATCTAGTCGCTATAGCCACATGAATTTTGTACTAAAATATGCTTTAAATTCAAGGGACTTAGATTTAACGTCATTATAGGTAAATAGTCGCTACAACCAAGGTCGCAATAAATGAAATCCACTGTATTACTTTAGTGTTATGATGAAACGTGTACCACAGATAAAAACGGTTCGAAATTATAAAAAGTAGTAAGGAAATGACGTTTTTATTTCAAAGTTAAATTATTTTACCGGCTTCAATAAAATATGCTGGATCCCGTAATTTAATATACACCTAAGTCACAAATTTTTGACGTATCAATCATTGGTGGTCGTTTCATATTTTGGTCAGGTCGTATTTGACTGATGTTCTTTTAAACTTAAGTTAAAATATATAAATAATAATATTTTTTGAAAATACCAGTAAACAAGGCTTCAACTTTTATTTGAAATTATCCCAAATTCAATGTGATTTATGGGCAACAACGTTTTTGCCTAACGATCGACCCCGGCGAATGTGTGCGTGTGCTAAAATTAGTTAAAATAATGCATTAAAACGCATTTTGAATTTAAAAGATAAAAGGGAAAGAATGTTCGAGATTTTATTTTTTATTTTCGTTCACCGTTCAGCTATATTAGTTATTCTGAACCTTCTCTGCAAATTTGGCCGCTTAATGCAAAATGAATAATGTTAATGATTATACAGGGTAAGTATAATCTTAGTAGGCGACAGAGGGAAACTTAAACAGGACATGGGCATCAGCGCTATCTAATAGCAACAAAAATATTAAAAAAACTGCGGTTGCCAACATGTTTCCCAAGCGTTGCAAACACAGTATAAAGATCTAACAGTTGTGAAACGCCTTTGAAGTCAGGCGATGCCGATGCCTGCGTCGGTATAGCCAACGTATTAGTAAGCTGAAGTGGCAATGGACCGGCCATATAGCTCGAAGAACTCGATGGGGAAAAAAGTTCTCGTGTGGCAGCCTCGTACCGTAGGCGAAGTGTAGGGCAACCCTCACTAGATGGAATGACGACCTGGTAAGACATGCAGGAAGTCGATGGATGTAGGTGGCTCAGGACTTTGGTTTGTGGCATTACTCAGAGGAGGCCTATGTTCAGCAGTGGACTTACGAAGGTCTGTAATGATGATGATGATGACTGTTAAATATTTTCGTGACACTTTCTGTTTATAGATGTTTTCAGTTTACGATTGTTAAATTTAATTATGTAGCTTACTCACATACGGATGAGCAATTTTATCAAAAAAAAAAAAGAAAGAAAACCTAAGCAAGGCTGTCGTTTGAATTCAACTTTACTTAGTCACGCATATAACTATAACACATATTTTTTTACGCGGTAGAGCCATGCTGGAGCTATATTAGTAGTAATATAGTTGTAGCACGAATGGGTCGGCTCGACCGGGGAAGAACCACGCTCTCACAGAAAACCAACGTAAAATAGCAGCTTGACGCTGCTGTGTTTCGTATGGTGAGTGTAGAGAACCGGAGACCTATTTTACTGGCAAAGAGGCATTCCATCTTAATCCTCACGGGTGACAACGCATCTGCATCTTGAGTCTTTTTGAGGATAGATGTAGATGTCTATGGGTCACAGTAACCACTTACCACCAGGTGGACTGTGTACTCGTTTGTCACCCTATCCTAAAAAAAAACAGTAATTCAAAAGATTTTAGTGTCTCTTTTTTGTTTCATAGAGTTTGAAATGACAACGATTCTAAAATATTTTTTACTTCAAAACATTATCTATTGCGATTTCTTACCTTTTCACCAAGAAACCACGGTATCACGCCATCGTCCTTCGCATGAAGAATTAGTATTGGCAGAGAACGAACCCGCGACAAATGTGCGTCCGAACGGAACAGATGTGCGCACGTGTCCGCCGATCGGTACGGCGCCACGAACATTCGGTCGTAGTATGGCAGCCATTGCACTAGCTGAAAACAATTATAACTTTTAAACAAAAAGGAAAAAGCGATTTTAATTTTCTAAAAAAAAAGTGTTATTTATTTGCTACCCTTAGGGGTGAAATTTTTTCTCCAAAATTTATATGGGATCACCCTTGAAGTAACCTATTTAACAAAAAAAGAATCATCAAAATTGGTTCACAATCTACGAAGATATCGCGTGAAATACATACAAAAAAAAAAACATACACTCGAATTACTTCATGCACGTTTACGTGGTAGAGACATGCTGCAGCTATATTATGATTGTAGCACAAATGGGTCGGCTCGATCGGGAAAGGACCACGTTCTCACGGAATATCACCGTCAAATAACGACTAGGTATTAGTCGTATGGTGAGTGTACAGAACCGGAGACCCTTTTTACTGGAAAAGAGGCATTCCATCTCAGTCCTCACGGGTGACAACGAATCTGAGCCACCAGCAGCCATCGACTTTCTGCATATCTTACCAGGTCGTCACTCTATCTAGTCTGACCCCTGTCCCGCACTTGGGAACCTTTTTTTCCCATCAGTTGTCGGTTTACCCTATATGGCTAGCTCATTACCACTTTTGCTTACTAATCTGTTGCACTATGTCGATTACTTTGGTTCCACTGCGGATGTCTTCATTTTTAAGACTATCACGCAGCGACACTCCGCACATAGTCCTCTTCATAGCTCCTTAAGCTTCCTCATTTTCTACCGACTTCAAAAAGGAGCCGGTACTCAATACGACTGTATGTTTTTTTATGTGTGTTATAACTTTTTACCGGGTGAACCGATTTCTATGATTCTTTTTTATATGAAAGCTGGTGCTTCACATGTGGTCCCATATAAATTTGATCAAGGTCTGACCAATAGTTTTTGAGTTAATCTTAATAATTTATATTGAAGTCGGTTGTACAAAATTTTTTATTTTAAATTATGTTTATTGTCTTTATTTTTTCAAGCCTTGCGGCTTGTTATTAATGCTAATTACGGGTGTTCGCCAAGTAAAAAGCATAATATGTGCATTTTATTAAGTAGTGTGTTCTGGGATATTGGGCGTAACTTCGTTTTCATCTATTTGTAAAAAAATTCTCACGATATGGCACGTATTTACTTTGGCGATTTTCTGTAATTGTATGTATTTATTCTCTTTTATATTTAATAGTTTCAGGCTATGGTGAAGATGTTTTGGGAATACTCCTGTAGTTGATAACATAATCGGTACTATGTATACTTTTTCTGTCTCCTAATTTTATTGTCTTTTCTATTATTATTTTTTAAAAATATACCGTACAGTGGTGTTGTAAGAATTTCCACTACCCCATATCGTCTCGTTGGTGTCTTAAGAGGCGACAGAGGCAAACAAACCAAGAAATAACATGAAATGACTTCCTAATAAAAACAACTAGAAAATAAAAAAAAACTGCGGTTGATAACCCGCTCACCAAGCGTGGCAACTATGGCAAATATATCCTTCCCTATGAGACAATCTATGGGGGAAGCCTATGTTCAGCAGTGGACATTTATAGGCTGTGATGACTATTTTACTTTTTTGATGTTTGAAAAATTCTAAACATCAGCAAGATAGAAGTTAGGGGGTAGAGGTGGGATGTTGGATGGGAGGAGGAGTTACACAGTTATTGTGTCGCCAATACCAGGTCAATCAGGATACATAAGTTACATTTTCAAATAAAATGTAAAATAAGTTATGTAAAATGTAACTTATGTAATCAACATACAGAATCAACAAAGAGCTTAAATTTCCGTCAAAAGAGGGCGGTGTAATCAATTCAAACAAACCAGAAATGTTATTAAATTTCTCATACTTACAATGGTAAACGGATGATTGGCCACTTCGTCAGCTATATTGTTGAATGGAGCTTCTAGAATTAAGCCATTTGGCAAAGGTAAAGGGCTGGAATGTTCTAGAATTTGAGTTGAGAGCTCGTTTAGATTTCCAAGTAGATGCGACGAGATACCCGTACCTACGACAAGCCAATACAATAACTTTATTTCAGGCATCAAGAACTTAAAAATTAAGAACATTGACCCATAGCAATATAAGCTTTAACCAAAAAATATATATAACACATAAACATAATACTATTTAGGGAAATTTCTTCTTTGGCGCGTCCCTGTATCGGCGAAACACTACCCCCAGAGGGCCAGGAATCCGGAGCGAGGAATGTCTCTTTGTGTTTTGCAGGAACTTCGTAGAATTTGAAATTCGTTGACTTATTAGACTCCAGACGCTGCAAATGTAAAGAGATCGGATCCTCTATGCGACATCGGCTCCGTTCTTCCACGAAACGCAGGACGTCTTCTCCCGCAGTACTTTTACAACACGCTGAGTGGTACTTGCGTTTATTTTGACGGTCCCACCCTGGTTACAGACGGATCTCAACGTTCCTTCTCAGCAAGAGTAAACCCGCCATTATCAATTTTGTTTCGGGTCACCACATGAACTGATCTTATGTCTACATTCTTTCGTTTTCGACCACAAGAGTAATGACAGTAAGCAAATTATTAAAAAAACATCTAGTAGTGATCCAGTAGAGTAGTGATATTATTAACTCAAAAATTACTATTTAGTTTTTTTATTACTAATTAGTCGATTATTGTGAGCGAATATTTTTGTGATAATGATAATGCCGTGTAGTGGTGGTGTAAGAATATTTACTATCCCATATCTTCCTGTGGGTGTCGTAAGAGGCGACAGAGGGAATCTTACGTGGTAAAGAGACGCTGCAACTATATTATGACAGATATGTCATATGATAACAGATCACACGGTCACAAGGACCACGCTTTCACAGAATACCAGCGTAAAATAGCAGCTCAATTCTGCTGTTTCGCATGGTGAGTGTAGAGCCAGAGACCCTTTTTACTGGAAACGAAGCGTTCCATCGTATTCCTCAGGGATGACAACGCATCTGTATTTTAATTCTTAATCGAAGATAAATGTAGTCGTCTGTGGGCCACAACATCCACCATCACGTCGACTGTGTGCTCGTTTGTCACCCCTATTCTATATAAAAAAAACTGACACATAAGATGTGTAACAACATCTTTTTGATTAAAACACAATAACTCGTTTGCCAAGCGAGCTAACTATGGAAAATATTCAGAGGCAATTTATGTCGTAAGCCCATGTTTAGCAGTGGACTGTTTTGGTAGACTGTAATGCATTGCTGTCGTAAGATGCGACTATTGGAAATAGACATGTGTCATTTTTTAACTTAGATTTTTGGTTTGGATGCTTGTCCTTTAAGCCATGTCTTCATTATCTCAGTATCAAGTGATAATAATCCTATAGAGTAACACTGTTGTTGATGTGTGACATTGCGTAGTTTTTCGGAGATTTCAACGGCAACTTGAGCCAGCAGACAGCAGACAGGTGATAATATCTCATGGCATCTAAGCAGAGAGACACCTTACTAATGTGAATCTCAAGATAAGGAATATAAGGTGCAACAAGTGCTCATCATGATTCATCGGAGCACTTGTGTACCGTTTCCACTAATAGTTCACATGCGCAGACACTTAATACACAAAATCACACCATATTTACATATCAAAATCCACTTCAAACCATTATTTAAACAATGATACAGGAGCAGCAATCCGCCGCCGGTCAAGTTCCCTCGTGTCAATCATTCATTTCTAGTGACCCGATAACTCAAGTATTGATTTGTTTTACGAACGGGGTCATTCGGGTCATTCATTCAAATGGATCATTTCGAGTTTCAGTACTCTGTGATCTGTTAGATCCGCTCGATAACGTCGGTCTTCGAATATTACTATACTCTTTTGTCGTATTACTAATTGTCCTGTCAATCGTTTGATCCGGAACGTCAAAAAATGTAATTTTTTTTTATTTGCCGTTTTGGTTTATTTATAACGTATTTAGATTCCATTAAGACCATTAAGTCCATTGTTCGAACTACTCGAAAGAGACGAAACGGCGACACTGAAAAACAGCGGCTGTGGTTCGCCACGCAAAATATTGAGTGCGACCCCATTTTCGTTGTGTTCGGCAACGTCTAATACCTCATTATTAATAATAATAACTATTATATAAATATATTTATAACAGTGGTAGAGCCACACGGCAGCTTTTGCTGTCGCACGGATGGGCTGGCTCGAACCGGGGTGGTACCACAACCTCACAGAAAACCAGCGTGAAGTAGAGGTTTACCTCTGCGTTGCGCTTGGTGAGTGCAGGTGGCCGAAGGCCCTTTTTACTGGAAATGAGGCATTCCATCTTAGTCCTCACGGGTGACAACGCATCTACATTTTGATTTGTAACAGAGGATAAATGTAGATGTCTATGCGCCGCAGCAACCACTTACCATCAGGTGGATTGTGTGCTCGTTTGTCACCCTTATCCTATAAAAAAAAATATAAATTTTTACTGGGAACGAGGCATTCTATGCTCAGGGCAATGTCTCTGCATTTTGATTGTTAGTTGGGCATAGATGTCTATGGGCCAAAGTCTTCACATAATTGGATTTGAATTATTCAGTAGCTATATGAAATTGCGGGCGTACCTAAAGAGTGTCCCCACACGAAGACTGGAGGCCTTTTCCCCCCTTTCGCCAATATGTTGTTCAGCCAGTCGTACACTAGCAAAGAGTCTTCGACCACTCCAGCCTCGTTTGGATAGAGATTTGTGGAGTCTCCGTAACCTGGAATACAGAACGAACTTTATTAAGAACTAGCTGTTCCCTGCGACTTCACCCGCGTGTTATTTAGGGTATTAATTTTTCTTTTGCGCGGAACCCTAATTCTTTTTCTAAAATTAAAGTAACCTAAGTTTATTAATTTATGACATCAGCTATCTGCCAGTGATAATCCCGTCAAAATCGGTCCAACCGTTGCGGAGATTAGCCGGAACAAACAGACAGACAAATTTTTTTAACATTGTAGTTTTTTTTTATAAGTACTGTATATACTGTATATAGTTTGGCTTCAGACAAGGAAGATCGACAGAAGATGCAATTCTTGAATTAAGCGCATTTGTAACAGAACAACTCGACCACAGTAAAAAATGTTTGTCAGTTTTCCTTGATCTGAAGAAAGCATTCGATACCATCTCTGTCCCTATGCTTGTGCACAAGCTTGAAAAAGTTGGAATAAGAGGGACCCCGCTTACTCTTTTCGAAAGCTACCTGTCAGAGAGAAAACAAAAGGTAAAGCTTCCTGGGTTCACTAGTGAGGATGCGGGAGTCTCATCATATGGCGTACCACAGGGTAGCGTTCTGGGACCAACCTTATTTTTAATTTATATCAACGACCTATGCAGTATGACCATACCAAATGCTAAAATCCTGTCGTACGCCGATGACACGGCTGTGGTTTTTGCTGGTGAATCTTGGGAGGTTGTCAAGACTAGTGCTGAAAGTGGTCTAGCTAGAGTCGCTCTGTGGTTGCAACAAAATCTTCTCACTCTAAATACAGCTAAGACAAATTTTATTTGCTTTAGCATTACTAACAACTCGCAACCACAGACTGACTTTTGCCTTAAAATTCATGCATGTAATGAGGATGCTAAAAACAAAGCTTGTGACTGCCCATCAATTGAAAAAGTTTCTCACACTAAATATCTCGGCGTCATTGTAGATCAGAGGCTATCGTGGTACCCACACCTGGAACATGTCATCAGTAGAACTCGAAAATTGATTTGGATATTCAAAACCCTAAGACACGTAATACCAGATAATACTAAACAGTCGGACTCTCCCAGATATCTCCTAAACCTAATATACATATCCCTTGCACAATCGATCATAACTTATTGCATTCCGGTGTGGGGTGGAGCTACAAAGACCCAATTTCTTAACTTGGAAAGAGCTCAGCGAATCCTTCTTAAGGTCATGTATTTTAAAAAAAGACGTTTTTCCACTGAAAAACTGTATCAAATAAGTGGTCTACTCTCAGTTAGACAATTATACGTTACTATGACAACGCTCAAAGCACACAAATCCGTGCCCTTTGACCGATGCATCTTGGAAAAGCGGCGAAAAGATGTTGTGGCTGTGTCTTCTGGTTTCAAAACAGTGTTTGCTAGTAGGCAATTTAGCTCCCGTTCTACATTCCTATATAATTTAATATATAGAGAATTAAACATATATGACAAAACATACAAGGAGTGTAAAAACCTTATACTAAAATGGGTGCAGTCGAAAACATATGACGAAACTGAATTTCTAATGGAACGCATTTCATAATTCACTGTTCTTTACGATATATAACATAATAATATTTTCTCTACACACACACACACACACACACACACACACACACACACACACACACACACACACACACACACACACACATACACATTCACACGCACGTGCACAAACGTACACACACACACACTCACACAAACACACACACAAACACACACACACACACACACACACACACACACACACACACACACACACACACACACACACACACACACACACACACACACACACACACACACACACTTGCATACATGCACACATATACTTTTGTACTTTTTAATTTTTAAATTTTTAAATTTTTGATTTTTAAAATTAAATTAGTTTTTGTTATTTTTGGTTTGTTAAAATAGAGTAATTGGTTTGTCATTTTTGGTTTTGAGAATTAAAATGTATGTTTAGATAAGGAAGAGCGGGGTTTTCAAACACAAGCATTACTTGCTTAAATGGAGACCCCAATCAACTATCTAATTAATTTAAGTTTTGTGAAGAAAAATAAATTATTTTTATTTTTTTTTTTATTTATTTATTTTACTTTCATATGCATTTAGTAAAATTGCTGTAAGTTTGACATAACAAACAGACGCTTCAATTTTATTTATTTGTATAGACGATTAACTAATTATTTATTTATGTATTTTTTAACCCCCGACAAAAAAAAGGGGAAGTGCAAGAGGCAGATGAAGCCCCTAAACGGATGAACTGTTTACCGAGTTTTCCTGCCGACTTCAAAAAGGAAACGGTACTCAATTCGACTGTTTTTTTTTATGTGTGTTAGTTACCTCATAATTTTTTACTGTGTGAACCGATTTCGATGATTCTTTTTTTTATTTGAAAGCTGGTACTTCACACTACACACAATTTGATCAAGGTCTGACCAATAGTTTTTAAGTTATTCTTAATAATTTATATTGAAGTCGGCTGTACAACATTTTTAATTTTTAATTATTTTTTTTTGTTTGAACGGTGACTTGATCGAGAGTGTTCTTAGCTATGACTCAAGAAAAACTTTTCAGCCGTTTGAAGATAATCAGCTCTTTTTGTTGCGGGGATTTTTAAAATTTCCAATTTAATATTATTTATTCTTACCGTTACAGCTTATTAAAGTTCACTGCTAAACATAGACCTCCCCCATAGATTGCCTCGTATGGGGGATTTTTGCCATAGTTGCCGCGCTTGGCAAACGGGTTGGTAACAGCATTTTATTATTTTTAGTAATTCTTAGGAAGCTGCTGCTGCCCATCTCCTGATTTGTTTTCCTCTGTCGCCTCTTACGATACCCACGGGATGGTATGGGGTAGTGGATATTCTTACACCACAACTACGTGCGCGCAATATGCTTAAAAGGGGGTATAGTAATACGTAAAGGTTTATCTTATAGATATAGATTAAGGATAAAATGATAAACTTTTTTCTAAATAATCTATTATATCATACCAAAAAACTAAATAACGTAATTTAATATTAAAAAAATTTGTACAACCGACTTCAATATAAATTATTAAAAATAACTCAAAAACTATTGGTCAGACCTTGATCAATATGAGAGCACGTGTGAAGCACCATCTTTCAAATAAAAAAAGAATTATCGAAATCGGTTCACCCAGTAAAAAGTTATAAGGTAAAACACATAAAAAACATACAATCGAATTGAGTACCGTCTCCTTTTTGAAGTCGGTAGAAAAGATGGCCAAGTTCGATACAATCTACGTCTTTAAATCGTAGCTGTAAGCATGTCCACCATTCCTGATACACGCACGTGGTAAAGCCACGCTGCAGCTATATTATGGTTGTAGCACGAATCTATCGTCGCGACCGGGGACGAACGCTCGCACGTAATCAGCGTGAAATAGGAACTCAATGCTGCTGTGTTTCGTATGGTGAGTGTAGAGTTCCGGAGACCCTTTTTACTGGAAACAAGGCATTCCGTCTTAGTCCTCAAGGGTCACAAAGACAACGCAACTGTAGTTTGATTCTTAATTGAGATATGTTTATGGGCCACAGCAACCACTTACCATCCAGTGCACTGTGGGCTCGTTTGTCATCATTATCCTAGATAAAAAAACCTCAACTCTATTATCGATGAATCCGACTACCCGGGACGTCCATTGTATCGTACTTGGCCCACTATTCAAGTCTGCTTTTGGTGGGATCTAATTCTTACCTCTATAGTCGAATGTTATAGTATGAAAGTCCATCTGTTGGAAAAACTTGTACAGTCGTATTCTATGAGCGGCGGCACGGGAATTTGAGTTACCTGTGAAAAACACGTTATGGTCAACATACTAAAGGCTGATTTACATGTTAAGTAGTCACGTAATGGGCGCCTATAATCTTCCGCTCACCAGATGTCGCTGGTTGATACAGAGATGAAGTTTTTTGGTACACAATGTAATTTAATTGAGAAGTTAGTTTTAAATAAAAGTTTATTAGTTTCTAAATTATTATATTATTAATACACAAAACAATGTCTCAGTGGTGTGCTTTGCATTTTTTTTGCACATTTTAAGCTTTTGTTTTTAATTCTTCAACGTTTAAGAATATCAGGATTTTTGTTTATAAATATAGAATAAAACGAATATTACAGAAAGAAACATTATCATTTTCCTAACAAATTTAATTGCCTGCTATAAAAATGTGTCAAATATTTCACCTCTTTCCAAAGTGATGCCGCCCTGGTGGCAGAAAAAGTAATTTACTAAATATTAAATTGATTTTATGTCTTGATTTTAAGTAAGCATTTACACGTTTTCAACACTCTGCTCTTTAGTTTGTCTGAGGTGGACGGCCAAGGACGGCATATTCAGATTTTAAACGAGGTAAAGGGTGAAATATTCAGGGAATCTAGAATAACTAAAACACTATGGATGAGAAACTAAAACAAAAGAATTTAATATGGCGCAAGTTAAATTTTGTTTGAGAATATGAACTACAGTATTTCTCTGCATTGCGGATACCACAATAATTTTATTTTTGTGTTTATAATTTAAACTTCCTGCATGTCTAGATATTTAAATACTTGTGTCACTTCATCTAGTGAAGGCAAGTGTAGGACGACCTCCCTACACTTCGCCTACCGGTACGAGGCTGCCACTCTAGAACCTTTCTTCACCATCGGTTGCCGGTTCTTCGAGCTATATGGCCGGCCCATTGCCACTTCGGCTTACTAATCCGTTGGGCTATGTCGGTTACTCTTTGTTACGCAGGTGGCTCTGGACCATGCTTTGTGGCATTCTTTGGGGGAGATCTATGTTCAGCAGTGGACTTGTGGAGAGCCGTGATGATATTGGTGATGAATTAAAACTTCAAATGTAAAAGTATAACAGAGTAAAACTTACCATGCAAATACAGGATTATGGGGGTCTTCGAATTCGCTAATTCGTTGTCCATGACGGCGCTCAGTTGTTCCTTGTCGGCGTTCTCTTCAAAGCTGCCTTTCAATCGCTCGTACGTGCTCTTCGGCAGTATATGCCAAATACCTGGAGCACATAAAATTTTATAGTAGCCTGGTTTGGGTTGACTTTGTCTAGAGCTTTGGTGATTCAAGGGATAAAAGCGCGACTTAAATTTCATAGAACGCGTGCAACTCTGGTTCGATGCCCGCCGGCGCCAATGAAATTGTTAATTGTAATTTTAAGTGCTCATTTATCACGTGTTCGGTTGTAAAGGAAAACATCACGAGGAAACCTGTATATCTGAGGCATATAATATTTTTTATATCATTGACGATTCAATCTCTATTGCCACTCTATTCAATCTCTATAGATCTCCACTGCCGACAATTAATGAAACTCAAGCATAAAATTGAGAAATAACGGCCGGAATTAACCAACAGAAAAGGAGTGGTCTTTTATCATGATAACGCCAGAGCACACATATATTTGGCTACTCGGCAAAAATTGAGAGAGCTTGTATGTGGAAGTATTAATGCATCCACCATATAGGCCTGACCTTGCACCCTCAGATATTCACCCGTTTCGGTCTCTTCAGATTTTTTTTTATAGGAGAGGTGGCAAACGAGCATACGGCTCACCTGATGGTAAGTGACTACCGCCGCCCATGAACAACCGCAAAACCAGGGGAATTGCAGATGCGTTGCCGGCCTTTTAAAAAGGAGTATGCTCTTTTCTTGAAGGCCCCTAAGTCGTATCGGTCCGGAAAAATCGCTGATGGTAATCGATTCCACAAGGAAGTCGTGCGAGGAAGAAAACATCGGCTTAGCTTTCCATTTACTCCCATCGAGTTGGGGATTGACACGTATTTTTACATAAAAGTTACACTATTATAAGCACACATATAAAGTTTCAATATGCGGAAACACGTACTTTTTGAGAAAAGACATTATTTGAAAATTAATTATGGTAGATTAATGTGGTAGATGCGAAAGAAAATGCAAAGGGATGCAACATCTCTTCGCAGTGCCAATGAATCGAGCCGATCGGAAAGGACTCGGTCGTCGACGATTCGAGCCGCTCTGCGCTGGATGCGGTCAAGTGGAAGGAGCTGGCACTGGGGATCCCATGCCCAGAGATTTGAACAGTATTCCATGCGAGGCCGAACCTGCGCCTTGTAAAGTTGCAGGCGATGTGCCGGCATGAAATACTGTCCCGCTTTGCTGAGCACGCCAAGCTTTTTAGAGGCCAATTTGGCCTGCTCTTCCAAGTGACCACGAAACTGCACGTCACTCGATATGTCGACTCCGAGGATTCCGATACTGGCTAAGGCAAGAAGGGGAGTGCCTTGAAACTGAGGAGATACGACAAAGGAGTTCTTTTTAGCGGTAAACGCGCAAACTTGTGTCTTCTGAGGATTGAACTGGACTAAATTTATTCGCCCCCAATTCGAGACTGTTCAGCAAAGACTCGACTTCAGACACAAGTTTGTTCCGGTACTCAGCGACAATTTCCTGAGAAATATTGGCACGGCCGATGTATAAAGCATCACCAGTGCTGTCATCCGCATAGCAATGAATGTTACCAGTTTGCAACATATCATTGATATGCAGAAGAAACAGCGTTGGTGATAGTACACAGCCTTGTGGAACACCAGCGCTAATAGGCTTGTAGTCGGAGCATGCACCGTCTACAACGATCTTGGTGCTCCGATCTGCAAGGAAGTTGGTGATCCAATTGCACAATTTTTCTGGAAGCCCATAGGAAGGGAGCTTCAAAAGAAGCGCTTTGTGCCAAATCCGATCGAAGGCCTTCGCAATGTCAAAACGAACGGCCAACGCCTCCCTCTTGGACTCTACTGCCTCCGCCCATCTATGGGTCAGGTAGACCAGAAGATCACCAGCTGATCGACCGAGACGAAAACCGTATTGGCGGTCACTAATCAGCTGGTGATCCTCAAGGAGAGGATCACCAGCTGATTAGTGACCGTCATGAGCTAGCAGTTAATAATGGATCCCATTATTTTGGAGAACAAGGAGGTGATAGCGATAGGCCTATAGTTGGACGGGTCTGAGCGGTCGTCTTTTTTAGGGATCGGGTGGACAAAAGCTGTCTTTCATGAATTCGGGTTCGCCTTGGGAGTAGGAGTACCGGAAAAGACGAGTTAGGACCGGTGCCAACTCCGGAGCACACGTCCTCCGCATAATTGGGGGGATTCCGTCAGGCCCACTCGACTTGTGGATGTCCAGGGAGAGGAGTGCTCTGCGAACCGAGCGCTGTGAGAACCGCACATCCGGCATGGAGCGCTCACACCGCGGGATGGTCGGCGGTGTTTTCCCCCCGTCATCAAGAGTCGAATTGGACGCAAAAAGGGAGCCTAAAAGGTCGGCTTTGTCTTTTGCGGCTTGGGCCAGTGAGTCGTCCTCCCTGTGCAGAGATGGTAGTGATGGCTTACAGAAATTCCCTTTTTCTATAGGATAAGGGTGACAAACAAGCACACAGTCCACCTGATGGTAAGTGGTTGCTGCGGCCCATAGACATCTACATCTATCCTCTATTACAAATCAAAATGTAGATGCGTTGTCACCCGTGAGGACTAAGATGGAATGCCTCATTTCCAGTAAAAAGGGCCTCCGGCCACCTGCACTCACCAAGCGAAACGCAGAGGTAAACCTCTACTTCACGCTGGTATTCTGTGAGGTCGTGGTACCACCCCAGTTCGAGCCGGCCCATCCGTGCGACAGCAAAAGCTGCCGCGTGGCTCTACCACTGTTAAAGTGGTAGAGCCACGCGGCATGCCCTTGGACAGCCTTGGCGAGAGACCAGAATGCACGGGTTCCCGAAGGAAGGCGAACTAGTTTCTCGCCGATTCTGCCTATGTGCTCTGACTTTGCCTTGGCAATAACTCTTTTGAAGGACCTGGAGGCGAAGTTATACTTCTTTTTAAGTGTGCTGGTGTTTACATCCCGAGTCGCCGAAGCCGCAGCCCAGGCTTGATAACACTCCTGCTTACTGCGTAATGCAGTCTTACAGGAGCGACCAAACCAAGGCTGAGATCTGCCACCGATGGGTACCACAGATGATGGAATAAATAGTTCCATTCCCTGTAGCACCACATCAGTTACAGAATCAGCAACAGCGCTGGGATCATCCGGCGATTTCTTTGGGTAGTGTTAGGTTAGGCATTTTGTTAATTAAAAATCCCAACATTTCTACAGCAACGAGATATTGTCACTACTACCTACAAGATGGCAACAAGTTATCGAACAAAATGGCACATTTTTCTATCGTAAATCAGCGCTTGCCTACTATCCCTCCTGATGGTGCTTTTAGAGCTAAAGATGGTAAAAGGCACTGACTAAGCTTTACAAAAGCCTAATTACTCTTCCCTTGAAGAGGGATTGATTTTAATCGAATGGAAATTTCGATGTTTTCCCGTTACCGTTACAGCCTAATTACAGGCATCCCCCATAGATTGCCTCATAGGGGGGATATTTGCCATAGTTGTAATGTTACTGTTGATTTGAAAATTTCACTTCTCTGTGGGTCATGTGCTCCTGGTAAATTATCTTCTATACTTCCATCCATTACAACCTATTAAAGTCCACTGCTGATCATAGGCCTTCCCCATAGATTGTCTCATAAGGGGGATATTTGGGGGATAGTTGCCACAAAAATAAAAACGCTTGCCAAGCGTTTTTATTTTTAGTCGCTATTAGTAACACCTTGCTGCCTATCTCCTGATATGTTTCCCTATGTCGTCTCTAACAACACCCACGGGATGATATGGGGTAGTGGGTATTCTTACACAGTCACTACACAGTATTTCGGTATTCGATGTTTACGTATTCAAATAATGATACTTACCAATCCGAACCGGACATTTGTCTACTTTGGAATGGTACTCAACGTTTATGTTCCTGCCGCCCTCAATGCCGCTCGCTGAGGGATCCTCGTAGTCTATGCCTAGAGGCCATTGTACTGAAAATCAACACAAACAGAATATTAGGCTGACATACATCGCAGCACTAAAACTAAGTAAGTGAATGCTAATATTAATACGTGGTAGAGCCATACTTCAGCTATATTATGGTTGTAACCAGGGATTGAATAACCGAATAAATTATGGTTAAAACGGTAAACGGTATGACGTCACTCCTTTAAATTTCGATACCTTAAAATAAAGGTACCTGTATAATTTCGATATTGTAATATCGCGGTATCATTACTTTTTCAAGTATGTAAATTATAATATAAAGGTTTTCTTTGTACCCTGCCGCCCGCGCCGAGGCGTCGCGCGGCGTGTCGGCCACAATGGTAAGAGAGTAGGTACTTGATCGAATATTTACTGATATTAGGGATGGGCAAAGGGAAAAAATATATCGATATATATCGAATCTATAATTTTAAACAGTATCGATATATATTGATGATGATAAATATCGATATATCGATATATCGTCATCATTTGAATGATGTAAAGATAAGTTCCAAAATTTTCTCTACTGACGGTTGGACGACGAAAAAAAAAGACAACATTTTAAAATATATCGAAATTGATACGAATTCGATACTCTAAAACAAATATCGATATGTCGATATATCGATATTTTTTACCCATGCCTAACTGATATTCGTTATTCGTGCGTCGGCAGCAAGACAAAGCAGGTCGTTTTGACATTTTGCCGCCATTCATGTTTCCGCGTCTACCTTGTTTATCAACTTTCAGTAAAAGTGTGCTTTGCTGAAACTTTAGAACTAGATTGTCGCTAAGATGGATAAAAGTAATAGGCCTATTAAACTACGCAGTATCAAGACAGTCGTTTTAAGACTCTCTTAAAGTCTAATTAGACAAGCTCGCTATTACACCACCCGGAATACCGTATGCTAAATCATTTGCAAGGCCTACGTAGCCGGTGACGGTTGTCGCGGTGTCATGGGAAAACTTTCGAAGCACCAGAAAATCGCCATAGCTCTTGCCGCGTCTATTACTTGGAGTACAGAAAAGAAAAGAAAAATATGGTTGAAGGAGTATTTACTGTTACGGGAAAAATTATCAAATATGCAAATACTGAGTGTTTTGGAACCATCTGATTTAAGAAACTACCTTAGAGTAGGTGTGGCCTATAGATATCTACATCTTTTCTCGATTACGAATCAAAATGCAGATGCGTCGTCACCCGTGAGGACTAAGATGGAATGCCTCGTTTCCAGTAAAAAGGGTCTCCGGTTCTCTACTATGCATTGATTGGCAAACGAGGATAGATGTAGATGTCTATAGGCCACGGCATCCACCTACTATCAGGTGGACCGTGTGCTTGTTTGTCGCTCTTATTCTATTAAAAATTGCGGTTAAAGGGTTTGGGTATCCGGTTCTCTAAAATCACCATACGAAACAGCAGTATGAAGCTGCCATTTTACGCTGGTATTCTGTGAGAGCGTGGTCGTTTCGCGGTCGAGCTGACACATTCGTGCCACAACTATACTACTAATATAGCTGCAGCATGGCTTTACCACGTATAACGTCACGTTACACATCAATAAGATTAAAAATCACTTCCTTTTCTTTTGAGCAAGCCATTGTGCACGCCACAGCAAACAAAAACGTGACTTCACTCTGCTGCTGCCTTACACCACGCGATATTCAGCAGGAAAGCAAGCAAGCACGGCCGAACCCACTCGGTCCGTCTAATTAGACACACTAACTTGCTTATTACACTACGCTAAATCTTAGTAAGACTGTCTTGATACTGCATAGTGTAATAGGCCTTTAAGTACAAACTCATTAAGCATGTCTTAACCGATTCGCTGCGACACCAATTTTCGACAACTTTAGAGCTGTGCAACGAACAAATATTTTGTGACACGCCTGTAGTATCAAGCGCCATATAAACAAGCCGATACCGCCGCGTCGCGCGCTCTTCATCGCATAATTTTTTTCGGTACCGAAATTATTTCGATAAAGCTATTAGTAATATAGGTATAACGATACCGTAAAAAAAATATATTATGTATAATTATTTTTTTTAATGGTACCACAACCGTAATACTTACTCAACCGTTTTGGTTCTACCTTTTTAATCGAAGCTGTATCGTAATTCTATACCGGTACCATACCCTTATACCTTTACCGCTTTCAACCCCTGGTTGTAACACGTATGGGTCGGCTCGACCGGGGAAGGACCACGCTCTCACAGAATACCAGCGTAAAATAGCAGCTTAATGCTGCTATTTTATGTGTACTAACGTGTTTCGTATGACGAGTGTCTCTACAATAAAGCACCGGAGACCCTTTTTACTGGGAACGAGACATTCCATCTTAGCACTCAAGGGTGACAACGCATCTGCATTTTGATTCTTAGGCAAGGATAGATGTAGTTGTCTACGGGCTACACCATTCACTTACCATCAGGTGGACTGTGTGCTCGTTTGTCACCCTTATTCTATAAAAAAAATATAATCAATATTGCTACACTTACGTCAAACTCTCACTACTGTATGGTTTGAGTGGTAGCTCTTTAGTTAGTGTAACTTGAAATGCCATAACGAATAAGTAAGCAAATTACTTGGTTAAGGTTTTTCGTTCACACCCCCACTTTTGGGTATGCTGCCGGTTTCAGTTCTAAGCCTCAGCTTCACTACAAAGAATGCGATAACGATTTATTAGTGTACCCAAAAGGTCGAGGGTTCGAATCCGCCATTCGACTACTGTCGAGAACCACTTCTAACACAAGCATTTTAAGCTTACCAGAAGCGGTTAAAGGGAATATTAGTAATGTTTAATAGCATTACTAGTATTTTTTGAGAATAAAAAAAATACGTTTGCTCATACGCGTGAGATAATCGGTCTCAAAATGCCGGATATAATCTCACTGAGCGACGGCCAACTGGATATAAATGTAAAAATATTTTCTTTTACGTCATAATCCATGGAGATAACAGAGAAAAACGTTTGTAGGTATTGAATAAACGTCGCCTGGATATCGTATTAATCACTGCGTCGATAGACAAATAAATTTATCCTCGATTAAGAAATAACATGCAGATACATTGTCACCGCAGTAATAAGGGTCTCCTGTTCTTTACACTTACCATACAAAAACGGTAGCGGTATTCTGTGAGAGCGTGTAAAGACCACTTCGCCGGTCAAGCCAACCAATTCGTGCTTCAACCATAACATAGCTGCAGCATGACTCTACCACGTATAAAACATGTCACGTATCAGGCTCGACCGCGGTAGGACGACGCTTTCACAGAGTATCAAGCTCAATGGTGCTGTGTTTCGTATGGTGAGTGTAGAGAACCGCAGACCCTTTTCATTGGAAACGAGGCATTTATTCTTAGTCTTCAGGTGTACCAACGCATCTGCATTTTAATTGGGCTATCCACTAACCATCAAATAGACTGTGTGCGTTTGTCACTATTATTCTATTTAAAAAAAAAACATATACGAGGAGAGGTCAAAAAGTTCTCGGAATGGCGGGGTTGGCGAGGGTGAGTTTACTCATCTAGACGCTAGTTGAGTGACTCATTGTTAGTGTATTTACCAAGTTCCAGCCTAATCGGGTTATTAGCTTTTGAGTTATCAACGAGTAAACAAGTCAATCGGGAAGAAACTAGCCACTGTGGAGAAAATTGAATATCGCGCCGTCATTAAGTGTTTCACCAAACAAGGAAAGACACATTTTTAAATAAAACTAATTTTACGGATTTTATCGCGTATATTAACTTATTTTTACCACCACGGGTGCTGGAAAGCACCCGAAACGTCGGGAATATAAAAAATAAATTAAAAATAAGTTAATATACGCGATAAAATCCGTAAAATTAGTTTTATTTAAAAATGTGTAGTGTTCGCGTAAATATAAGAAATCATTAAGGAAAGACACCTCAAACCATTTTTCAAGAGACCTTCCCAGTCATTCCGCGAACTTTTTGACCTACCCTCGTATAAGTAATGAAATACTCACCAAAATTACAAAATATAATAGCGTGACGGAAAGTCTTCGAGTACTTAAAAATCAAAGGCACTATGACTAGGTGGAACACGAACAGCCCAGCAGTGATGGGGACACCCAGGCATGCCAACCTGAAAGCACAAACATAGGTTACATCGGTCGAATATCAAACTAAAAAAGAAAGATAGATGGAGCACTGCGTAGATTTCAAGTGACGCGGAAACCAAGCCATAACCATGCTCGACTTATTGCAAAATGCATATACACATGTGCATCTAAAATCATTTGAAACAAACAACATGGTTTTAGATGCATATGTGTGCGACCGTGTATGTTTACTGTGTAGTGGCGGTGTAAGAAAATTCACTACCCCCTAAAGCCCCGTTAGAGGCGCCAAAGGGAAACAAACCAGTAGATGGGCAGCAGCGTCTTTCTAAGAACTACTAAAAGAACTGCTTTTGCCAAGTGTGTCAACTATGGCAAATATCCCATGAGAGAATCTATGGGGAAGGCCTTATGGTTCAGCAGTGGACTTTTATAGGCTGTAATGGATGGATGTATAGAAGATAATCTACCAGGAGCACATGACCCACTGAGAGGTGAAATTTTCAGATCAACAGTAACATTACAACTATGGCAAATATCCCCTCTACAAAGCAATCTATGGGGAGGTCTATGTTCAGCAGTGGACTTTAATAGGCTGTAATGAACGGATGTATAGAAGATAATCTACCAGGAGCACATGACCCACTGAGAGGTGAAATTTTCAGATCAACAGTAACATTACAACTATGGCAAATATCCCTTCTACAAAGCAATCTATGGGGAGGTCTATGTTCAGCAGTGGACTTTAATAGGCTGTAATGGATGGATGTATAGAAGATAATCTACCAGGAGCACATGACCCACTGAGAGGTGAAATTTTCAAATCAACAGTAACATTACAACTATGGCAAATATCCGCCTTATGAGGCAATATATGGAAGAAAGAAAGAAGAAAGATTAATAAGTTAAATATTCATAAAGTTTCATCATCACTTGAAATATACGTAGCGTTCCTTCTATGTTGGTTTGATTCTTGATAAGGGACGCATATGGGACGCGAGAGTTTTCTAAAACGGATGCAAGAAACCACGTATATTAGTTATCGCTATCGTTACAGCCTAATAAATTCCACTGCTGAACTTTTTTTTATAGGATAGGGTGACAAACGAGCACACAGTTCACCTGATGGTAAGTGGCTGCTATGGCGCATAGACATCTACATCTATACTGATTTATGTATCAAAATGCAGCTGCGTTGTGACCCGTGAGGACTAAGATGGAATGCCTCTTCTCCAGTAAAAAGGTTCTCCGGTTCTCTACACTCACCATACGAAACACAGCAGCGTTAAGCTGCTATTTTACGCTGGTATTCTGTGAGAGCGTGGTCCCTCCCCGGTCGAGCCTACCCATTCGTGAACATAGGCCTCCCACATAGATTGCCTCATAGGTGGGGTATTTGCTATGGTTACACGCTTGGCAAGCGGGTTTGCCAACCGAAGTTTTTTATTTTTAGTCGTTATTAGGAAGACGCTGCTGCCCATCTCCTGATTTGTGTCCGTCTGTCTCTCTGCCTCTTACAACACCCACGGGATGGTATGGGGTAGTGGATATTCTTACACCGCCACTACACGGTACGTATATTATTTAGTAACGTTCAAAATGGGCAATATTATGTATTATAAAACGGCGTTGTCGTTATGTGGCGATATAAAGTATTTTCATTCTTTATTAGGGCAAATGTTTACATTAATCGATAGGAAACGAATTTGTGATGCGAAAATTTTCAAAACGCATGCCCGAAGATCCTCATTCGGGTAAATATTTACATTGGTGGATACGGAATGCATTCGGTATACTAGAGATTTTTTGATTATAATATACTTTTACCTTTATATTTTAATTTTTTTTTATATAGAACAAGGGCGACAAATGAGCGCACTGTCCACCTGAGGCTAAGTAGATGTTGTGACCCATAGACATCTACATTTATCCTCGACTAGGCCACATTATTCATACCTTGGTATTAATCCTTATACCCAAATAAAACACTTCGTATTCAAGGCTATATCAGTAACTGTACCATGGATAACCACCAATTACGTTAACCATGTAATTTAAGTAACATTTTTCACTTTTCAAATCTGTTAATTCAGCAACCGTCCGTCGTGATGTCTCTCTCGAAGTTCGCATGTCGCAAGGCGCCGACGCATGATATACGCGGGTGAAGCCGCGGGGCACAGCTAGTTCTCTATAAAACTGCAGTACATCACTTTGCTCTATTGTCAATAGTTTCCGCAGCGTATTCGATATAAGGATTCATTTTGGTATTTTTTTCACACCTTGTGTTACATTAACGAAGTTTTCATGCGGATCCCTAACTTTTTTGAAAGTATTCTATCGCCTATGTGCATCAGGGTTAATGTAGGATTCTAATGGTGAAAGAATTTTTCAAATCGGTTCAGTAGTTTCCTACGCCTATTCAGTTCAAACAAACAAACAAACAAATCTTTCCTCTTTATAATATTAAGTAAGTATAGTATAGAAGTATAGATGAAAATGCAAGATGCGTTGCCTTGCCACCACCCCTGAGAACTAAGATGGCTCCTTAATATATTTCAATATATAATACAAGTAGGTATCATTGACTTTTATGACTACTGTATAAGTAACAATAAACAAAACTTTTTTTTCGGATAAGATCTGTAGTTTTACCTTGAAAATATATTACCGAGAAATAAAAAATAAAGTATGACAGTAAATACATATCCTACAGATAAAAAATAACGTAAGCAAGTATTAATAAAACGTGTATGTAAATTCATTTACACTTTATCTTCTAACATAAAAAAATTTATTGCCTTAATCTAATGTTTAAAACACGTATGAATTCAAAATTGTGAGGGAACACTTATACATATAATTCTTTTAGAAATAATAAAAGAATTTCTACATAACAGCTTCAGAAGTCGGTGCTAAGACGTAGTGTATAGAATTTAAGCCCCCACCCACTTCAGAAGCTGTAACGTGAATATTATTTCATCATTTTTTGTTAGTAGTAGGTTTTGTTTTATAGAATAAGGGTGACAAACGACCACACAGTCCATCTGATAAGTGGATGCTGTGGCAGATAGACATCTACATTTATCCTCGATTAGGAATCAAAATGCAGATGCGTCATCACTCCTGAGGACTATGATGGAATGCCTCGTTTCCAGTAAAAAGGTTCTCCGGTTCTCTACACTCACTATACGAAACACAGGAGCATTAATCTGCTACTTTACGCTGGTATTTCATAGACCTATTCGTGCTACAACCATGAAGCTAATACAAAGTATTACTTTGTATTTACTTCATGGCTACAACCATAATATAAAAAAGAAGAAAAAGAAAACTATATGAGCATATCCGTAGCCTACAAAGTTGAGTCAACTTATTTAATATGTTCATAGTTATTTATATATATATATATATTTATTGAGATATATATGTATAAATGTGTGTATTTATTTATATATGTATATGAATTATATATTTTATATATATATGTATATATTTGAACTGAATTATATCATGACAACTTAACTGCCCAAACTCACTCTGTTCTAGCCAAGGTTAGCTGGTAGAGAATGCCATATATCATTAAGCTCGCCTTTTGTATAAATATTTAGTGCAATAAAGAATAAATAAATAAATATAGCTGGAGCTTGGCTCTGGCTCTACGACATATTAAATACAATTGAAACGAGTCTCTGAAACGAGAAATATTAGTGTAGTAATGGATGAGAAGCTACGTTTCGAGAAGCATATTTGTACGTAATCGCTCATATAAGCTACATATAAGTACTGTATTGTATTCGCAGTGATCTAAGTGTACCTCTGCGTGTTAATCCAGATCCTCTCGAAATTTAACTAGCACGTACTGAACAAATAATACAACGAGTGCAGAATATGACATAGCATGTAAGTACTAACTGTGCCCCGCGGTTTCACCCGCGTATATCACTCGTCTGAGCCGTACTTTTTTTGATTGATTATGCTGGATTGTTTATGCTGCTGACCCAACGGCCTTTACAGCTTCATCAAATCATCAAAAGACTCGTAAAGTGAGGATCTACGAGCTATCGAGTGCAACGATTCAGCCGGCCGACGCCGACTGCAATCTCGACGGCCCCTGCTTTTGGAGTGAGGCTCCTGAGGCTAGGGGAGGGCTCGATGTGATTCAAGGGCCCCTCAAAATCAGGAGGTATGAACCTTGGTTTAAACCACTATCGAAATGTGGGACTGAGCCGTATAACATGACACCTTATATATAGGTGTTTACAACTGATTTCCCTCGGTTCTCATCAGGCGGTTAGGTGATGCGTCGTTCGCGCGCCGAGCAGTGTTGAATTATTTTAATTTATCATTAACTCTCAAACTATTCGTCCAAATAACATGCTATAAAGACGAAGTTAATCTTCATAAAATTGTCTTGATGATGGAGTAACTTTCGTTCGTAAGTATGGCATATGCCATGGCTAAAAATAACGCTCATTTAATCACTTTTCAATATTCAATAATTTTTAAGTGGCGAAGCTTGCGAAGTCACTTATTAAGTGGCGAAGCTTGCGAAGTCACTTATTGATTTCACGATGTCTGTCCGTCTGTCCGCCTGTCCCACGATTATCTCGAGAACGGTTTCGAATTTTCAAATTCTGTTTTCAGCAATCGATTACTGATCACCCAGGCATCTGAACCTCCTATTTTGAAACTGATTGCTCAACGGCAACCGTTAGAAACCGCTACAAAGCTGATTGCTTCGTCTGTCCGTCTGTCCCACGATTATCTCGAGAACGGTTTTGAATTTTCAAATTCTGTTTTCAGCAATCGATTACTGATCACCCAGGCATCTGAACCTCCTATTTTGAAACTGATTGCTCAACGGCAACCGTTAGAAACCGCTACAAAGTTGATTGCTTCGCCACTTTGCTATGCTGTTTATTTTATAACAAAATACGTTATTGTGGTAGATAGTCTATACTATTTCTCATGAATCTGGCTATCATATACAAAAATGTTTTTTCTAATGGGCATGGTCGTTCCATAG